TTTATCTGTTTTTTAATCGAAAAGATTTGCTGTACTTTTTTAAGGTTTTAAATGTGGGTAAACTAAACTTTTATGGTTCAGTTTTTTATTAATTCTCAGGATTTATAGTACTAAAAGTGTAAAAGTTTTAAAATTGAAAATGTTATATAAAAAACCGCTTGTTTTTAATAAATGTTATATAAAAAAATTGTTAAACCCCACCTATGTTCAGTAATTCTTCATCAGGGTTTATGCATAAAACTAGCTACCAAAAAAAAAAAAAGGGTTTTATACAATAAAAATTTTTTTTTGAAAAAAAAGGGGGGGCACTAAACTTATTAACACCACCCTTACTGCATTTTAATTTGTTCAAACATTTATATTTAAAAAATGCATTTTCCAGGACTATGTTGGTGGTGTTACCCGCAAAAAAGGGTGAATGGCGGTTATTGGGGTTCGGGGGCCTGTTATCGCTTTCATTTCACGCACCAGTTCTCGAAACTTTCCCATTCCACGTCACTTCCAGGGGGACATTTTACAGGTGTAACGCCGAGTTTTACAACTTCCTGAAGAGATTTTGCATTCCCCCAGGCTGTTTTATGAATGTAATGCAAAAACTGCGGATGGCGCGTTTCCACGGGAAAAAAACCGAAAGCATAAACCATGGGATGGCGGAAACCGTTGGGTGAATTGCTTTTAAACTTGAAAATATGTACGGAATCGAATAAGACACGGGGGTATGCGTCACTTTTCATTTGCAATTTTTGAGGCGAGGGGTGTTGATGGATTCTTTTTTTGGCACCATTGAGGGGGTTGGTTTTTAAAGGAGTCAAAGTTTTCGTGAATAGTTTAGTTTAAAGAAAGTCAAAATGACGCCTGTTGAACCACAATTAGTAATGTTGTTCATAGGCCAGTCCGCGGTGTGACGTAGGCTGATGACGCGTCCTGTGGGCCCACTCTACATGGTCTGTCGGTGGTGATAATGGGAAAAGGGGGAAAAAAAAAATCAATTCTAATTAAAATATTTTGTTTTTGAAAACCACAACTTTTGTTAAATTCATATTAAAATTTACAGTTACGATAATTTGTAATTTGATGAAATTTATTTTTTTTCCATTATCAACCGACAGGGAACCAGTTGTTAGCTGTTAGGTTGCAACAGGAGCGTCAATTTCAGCCTTACGTCAGCCCAAGCCCGGGGGATGCTATGCAATAAAAACAATTAGCTTTTGTGGTTTACAGGGCGCCCACCCCCGAAAGTTTGGGGGGAAAACTTTTGGGCCTTAAAAAAAAAACTTTGCTCGGAAAAAACTTTGATTTTATTAAAAACCCCAATGTGAACAAACCGGAAAACCATCAAACAATCCTCGCCTCAATAAATTGCTTAAAAAGTGGACATTTTCGTGTGTCATTTAAGTCGGTTTCGTATTTCAAATTTTTCAAGAATTTCAACGGTCCGCCATTTTGGTCTGTGCGGTTTTGCGTTGAGACGCCGCGATTGCGCAGTTTTTGCATTTAAAATTCTTATAAAAACAGCTTTGGGGGAAGTGCTTCTTCAAGGGTAAGCAGTATCTCGGCGTTCTTTTTTTTGATTTTTTTTTTTTTTTTTTTAACACCTCTGTTACAACATGTCACTCCGTATTCGGTTCCCGGAAGGAAAACCGGATGTCCGGAAAGTTTCCGTTTTTGTTCCTATGAAAAGCATTTACGGCGGGCATAGGTAGGAATACGTTCACGGGGAAATTTGGGACGGGAAGCGGTAGTAATATAAAAAAAAAAACTAAACCATTTATGCATACAACTTAACCAGCATTTCCAATGAAATTAACCCCCAAAAAACCCAGCTTTAATAAACCTAAAAAACTTAACCCATTTCTTAATCAGGGGACGCATAAAAAAACTTTTATAAATAAACCCAAGTCAACCCAACGTAAAGGTCATAATTAAAAACTTTTTGACATGCGCAAAAAATCTAAACTTCGGGGGGGGACGGAATACGGTTTTTTGTCCAGGCGGAATACGGGAGTGGGGGACACACAACCCTTCAGGGCCTCCCCTCCCCAAATACGCGCACTTCCACCCTCGGCGCAATCATTTGCGCCGTTCCGATAAAAAGGGTGCGGAGTTTGAGATAGGGGGGTCCAATATCCAGGGAGGGTCTTTGGCCGCCCCTTTGCCCGCCCAGATCCCCAACAAGTTGCATTATACTGGTTTACATGGAAAAATCCCTATTAAGTTGCATTATACTGGTTTACATGGAAAAATCCACATTAAGTTGCATTATACTGGTTTACATGAAAAAAACCCTATTAAGTTGCATTATACTGGTTTACATGAAAAAAACCCTATTAAGTTGCATTATACTGGTTTACATGGAAAAATCCCTATTAAGTTGCATTGTACTGGTTTACATGGAAAAACCCCTATTAAGTTCCATTATACTGGTTTACATGTAAAAAAAAAACCCTATTAAGTTGCATTATACTGGTTTACATGGAAAAATCCCCATTAAGTTGCATTATACTGGTTTACATGAAAAAAAAACCCTATTAAGTTGCATTATACTGGTTTACATGAAAAAAACCCTATTAAGTTGCATTATACTGGTTTACATGGAAAAATCCCTATTAAGTTGCATAATACTGGTTTACATGGAAAAATCTCCATTAAGTTGCATTATACTGGTTTACATGAAAAAAACCCTATTAAGTTGCATTATACTGGTTTACATGGAAAAATCCCTATTAAGTTGCATTGTACTGGTTTACATGGAAAAATCCCTATTAAGTTGCATTATACTGGTTTACATGAAAAAAACCCTATTAAGTTGCATTATACTGGTTTACATGTAAAAACCCCTATTAAGTTGCATTATACTGGTTTACATGGAAAAATCCCTATTAAGTTGCATTATACTGGTTTACATGGAAAAATCCCTATTAAGTTGCATTATACTGGTTTACATGGAAAAATCCCTATTAAGTTGCATTATACTGGTTTACATGGAAAAATCCCTATTAAGTTGCATTATACTGGTTTACATGGAAAAATCCCTATTAAGTTGCATTATACTGGTTTACATGGAAAAATCCCTATTAGGTTGCATTATACTGGTTTACATGTACAAATCCCTATTAAGTTGCTTTATACTGGTTTACATGTAAAAACCCCTATTAGGTTACATTATAGTGGTTTACATGTAAAAATCCTTATTAAGTTGCATTATACTGGTTTACATGTAAAAACCCCTATTAAGTTCCATTATACTGGTTTACATGTAAAAACCCCTATTAAGTTCCATTATACTGGTTTACATGTAAAAACCCTATTAAGTTGCATTATACTGGTTTACATGAAAAAAACCCTATTAAGTTGCATTATACTGGTTTACATGGAAAAATCCCTATTAAGTTGCATAATACTGGTTTACATGGAAAAATCCCCATTAAGTTGCATTATACTGGTTTACATGGAAAAATCCCTATTAAGTTGCATTATACTGGTTTACATGGAAAAATCCCTATTAAGTTGCATAATACTGGTTTACATGGAAAAATCCCCATTAAGTTGCATTATACTGGTTTACATGGAAAAATCCCCATTAAGTTGCATTATACTGGTTTACATGGAAAAATCCCTATTAAGTTGCATTGTACTGGTTTACATGGAAAAAACCCTATTAAGTTGCATTATACTGGTTTACATGGAAAAAACCCTATTAAGTTGCATTATACTGGTTTACATGTAAAAACCCCTATTAAGTTGCATTATACTGGTTTACATGGAAAAATCCCCATTAAGTTGCATTATACTGGTTTACATGGAAAAATCCCCATTAAGTTGCATTATACTGGTTTACATGGAAAAATCCCTATTAAGTTGCATTGTACTGGTTTACATGGAAAAAACCCTATTAAGTTGCATTATACTGGTTTACATGGAAAAAACCCTATTAAGTTGCATTATACTGGTTTACATGTAAAAACCCCTATTAAGTTGCATTATACTGGTTTACATGGAAAAATCCCCATTAAGTTGCATTATACTGGTTTACATGAAAAAAAACCCTATTAAGTTGCATTATACTGGTTTACATGAAAAAACCCTATTAAGTTGCATTATACTGGTTTACATGGAAAAATCCCTATTAAGTTGCATTATACTGGTTTACATGGAAAAATCCCTATTAGGTTGCATGATTACACTGAAGTCCTTGAAACTGCTGAAGTCCTTGAAACTGCTGAAGTCCTTGAAACTGCTGAAGTCCTTGAAACTGTTGAAGTCCTTGAAACTCTTGAAATCTTGAAACTGCTGAAATCCTTGAAACTGTTGAATCCTTGAAACTGTTGAATCATTGAAACTGTAGAAATGTCTGAAAGAGCTGAAGTCCTATTAAAATGCATGGGCCTATTAAAATGCATTGCAGAATTCTCAATGCAGATTTTTGTCCGATTGCGGAAAAACCGGAAATCGCTGAAGTCCCAAAAGTAATAGCAATAATCTCCCAAACATGTGGAACGTTTTGATGTATAACTTGTGGAAATTGTTGAAAATGTGAAAGCTGTGAAACGTGTCAAAAAAAATGACGGAATAAAGAAATACAAAACCAATGGTTGACTGCGGAAGGTTCCGCAGTCAATCAATGACTGCGGAAGGTTCCGCAGTCAATCAATAAAGAAATACAAAACCAATGGTTGACTGCGGAAGGTTCCGCAGTCAATCAATAATCTTCATTGAGGATTAGAGCCATTGTTTTTGTGATAAATAACAAATTATCTGTGTTCCCAGAGACACAACAGCATTATGCATTATGTTCAAACCTTTTTTTAACAAAATATCAAAGCTGATTTCATTCTCGTTAGAAAAACACTTGACATAATGGCTCATTGTATACATTTATTAAAACACAAAAGGAAGCACAAGTCTTTCTTTTGGGTTGCCAGTTTCTTTGGTGAAATCTAGCTGTTTGGTTGCTGCCTAAACCTCTGGCGCCAAAAGAGCAGCTAAAATATAATACATCCATGGTTGGTGTGAACCCAAAGGAGCGAATTTTGCGTTCTCATTGGATAATCAAATGAGGACCAAAACATAAAATCATGATTTTTTTTTTGTGTGTGGAATTTATTAGTTTAGAAAAGGCCAATTATAATTTGTACTTGTTGACAATGTCTTCGCACAGTTGTCATTTATAACTAACATGCCACGGCTCTTGAACAGTGTCTGTATTTGCCCTCATGTGTGTTGTGTGGTTTTCAGGGATACAGTGATCCAGAATACAGGAAAAGACGTGCTTATATTTCAGAACTCGCCTTTGGATATAAACAGTGAGTTCTTTTATCTACATTTCCCGCCGCATTATAAACTATATCATTAACATCTTTACGTACATCAGGGGTGACCCATTACCGACCGTGGAGTACACAGCAGAGGAGGTGTCCACATGGTGAGAGCTTCATGGCCACAAACAACACATACAGAGTTAGTATTTCTTTGCTCTTATGTGAAGTGTGCTTTCAGGAGAGAGGTGTACCTAAAGCTGCGCAGCGTGTACCCCAGTCTGGCCTGCGCTCAGTTCCTGGAGGCTCTGCAGCAGCTGGAGGCGGAGTGCGGCTACAGCGAGGAGCGCATCCCCCAGCTCCGGGACATCTCTGCCTTTCTGAAAGGTACCACAAAGACATCTCACACTCTCAAGGGTGGATAGCACTCTCACTTCTCAGCAAGTATGTCCTGGGTTCTAATCCCGGTCAGAACATGCAAACTTCACTCAGAAAGTTCTCCTCTTGCCCACGTTGGGTTCCCTCCAGGTGCTCCGGTTTCTCCTACCACTAGAGACATGTACAATAGGTAAATTCTTCAGCTCTGGTAGTCCTGACCAAGCCAAGTATAAACATCTAGAGATAGGTCCTTTACCTTTTTTTAAATTCAATGTATTCTTGTATAGCCCTAAATCACAACTGTAGTTATCTCAGAGGACATTACAAAACCCTTGATTTCGCCAACAGAGATCTGAGAATCAAACAGTTTGAACACAAGAAATGCAATGATAAAAAAAACAAATAGAGCCATTGGTCCAAAAAGGGCAGATGACCAATGTCCATAAATGTTGATAAATGTCCACAAATGTGAACAGTTGGAAGATAATGGAATCCGTGCTTGTGCCGCAGAGAGGACGGGCTTCCAGCTGCGCCCTGTGGCGGGCCTGTTATCCGCCAGAGACTTCCTCGCCAGTTTGGCTTTCAGGGTGTTCCAGTGCACGCAGTACATCCGCCACTCCTCTGCTCCCATGCACTCCCCAGAGCCGTGAGTCCAAGCCACAAATGCAGTTTAACATTCTTATGAATACATTATGATTTACCATTCACTGCTTTACTTTACAGAGACTGTTGTCATGAGCTGCTCGGCCATATCCCCATGCTGGCGGATTCAGAGTTTGCACAGTTCTCACAGGTAGTTCAAATTGGAAACAAATATGGAGTAAACCAAATGAGAAATGTTATTTAGGACATTTGTGTTGTATGAACAGGAAATTGGATTGGCGTCACTTGGTGCATCAGATGAAGAAATTGAGAAATTATCAACAGTAAGTCCGTCTTTTATTAAATTAATTTAAACATATATCTGTGAAACCAGCGGTCGTCTAGCTCGCCAACAACAGATCAGAGAATCCAATCGTTCGAACACAGAAAATCCAATCATAACAAACACATTGGAGCACTTGGTCCATATAGTAGCGGGATGACTAATGTCAATTAATGTTAGTAATTGTGCCGGATCATCACTGTCCTTTAACGTATTAATATAATACATCCATGTTTTAGACCAATGCTCAGGGGCCAGCTGTGGCTCTCTTGATGATTGTGTCTGGCTCTCAGACAAATCTTAGAAAGCATTAATAATAAGAATGCTATGTGCATTGGATTTCTTCAGAATAAAAAAAATATTAAACAAAAGAATACATTCTGCAACAAATATATCAAATATAAAAAATCACAAATATTCACGGTAAAAAGAAAATGTGTATGACTCCCATAGAAATACATTTTCAAGTGGGAGACTTTTTTTGGCTCTCTCAGCAAAAAACGAGGTTCACGACCTCTGCTTGGACATCGAATGACAATACAGGCATTTCACATACATCTCTAGCTCCACCTAGTGGCAATTATTAGTAGTGGTTATCTGTGGCATACTTGCCAGATCTCGCATCCAAATAAAGCGCTATATAAAACCGATGCATTATTATTGTCATTAAGAATTGGACATATTTTACAGCTATACTGGTTCACTGTGGAGTTTGGACTGTGCAAACAAAATGGAACAGTGAAAGCTTATGGAGCCGGTCTACTTTCTTCTTATGGAGAGCTCGTTGTAAGTTAAACAAAATTGGTCAATTACTTTGCAGAAGCTAACTTGGATCTTTTTTCTCTACAGTACGCCTTATCCAATGAGCCAGAGTATAAGGAATTCAATCCAGAGGAGACTGCAGTCCAGCCATATCAGGACCACACATACCAACCAGTTTATTATGTATCAGAAAGCTTTGAAGATTCAAAAAATAAAATGAGGTAAGATACATTTTGTGCACTAACTAACCAAATACAATGGTACAATCCATATTAAATTCTATTCATTCTCTTAATTTGTTAATTTTGTTTATTAACATTATTTTGTGTTTTTAGGAGGTATGCTGCCAACATCAAGCGCCCATTTGCGGTGTGTTATGATCCATTTACATGTAAGGTGGAAGTCTTGGACCAGCTCAGCAAGATTAAACCTGTTCTGAACCAAGTGAGAGAAGATTTGAAGACTCTCCAGAGTGCATTGGAAAAACTCAGCTTGTGAACCATGTGAACTACAATAATGAAATGTTCTTCTCAAGTCAGTGTCCAGAAACATTGGATACATGTGCATTGAAATAATGCTGAGGACTTGTTTATGCAATTTAGTACCATTTTAGTTTTTTTTTCTCTCTTTAACAACTAATTCCAACTCCAATCTGCATTTCTCTGTGGGCACCCATGTCCAGTCTTTAGGGTAATATAAAGGGTTCTCTTCATTTCTTCGCTGAATTTTAGACCAAACCTAGAGAGACAGAATTAACGTGCGTATCTACGGCCTTGTGTAGCTGAATATTGGAGTGTCCTGCAAACCCCTCCGAACAAACAAATGGCACTCCTCTTTGTCTTGCTCAGTTACAAACCTTTGCATTGATGTCATAATGTAAATTTCAGAAAGACCAAATACTTTTATAGTTGACAAACAAATGTTATTTTCTATTATAAGCTACAGGGATAAACACAAAAAGTGAAGTCTCTTATCTGTGTGTATTAATGAAATGGGAGACTGTCATCATACTGGTTGAAAGTTGAAAGATTGGTTGTCCTTCAATAAAGTGCATTAGTTATACACATTTGTATTTATTTACTTTAACCAGAGTTGATTTGAACTACTAGGGATGTGTATTACGGCCACCGGGAATTAAATATTATATTCAGGCATGCACATTTTACTAGTTATATACTGTATTAAAATGTATTACATTATATGCTACTCAGTTCATATAAATTGAACCAAATTTTAGCTGCTAATGGTGATCAAAGATGATGAAATGCTATATCAAAACTATGCAGAAAATATTACTTTAATATCATACATTAAAACTATACACTGAAAAACAGGATGGTTACATTTCAGTCATCCAAAAGCATAACTTCCTGTCCCCACCAATAACACAGAGCGGGAGAGTGCGGTGCCAGCTTAGTCCTGATCCAACTGCTGCGGATCCAATCATCACAGGCTAAAAGACAAAAATGTGTTACTTATCAACCGACTTAAAAAATATATAAATATCTTACTAAAGCTTGTGCACCCGACTTATTTTTGTTTGTTTTCATAATTACATTTTTTCTCAAAACCAACAGCCAGGCTGAAAGAGGGCTGGTACCCAAGAACTAGTTACATGGATTTTATTTCAGTTAGTTTTTGTGGTTTCAAAGTTAGGTACTCAAGCTTTAACAATGCACTTAGTAATAGGGAAAAACCTAAAACATGCCAAACCTGTGGATGTCCCAGGTGATGCATAAGCAGCTGACTGCTGATCTTTCCAGGGCATCCAGTGGTTGCAAAGAGATTTTCATTTGCTCGTGACCACCTGTATTATGGAAAGAAAATTAAAAAAAATCAACAATAACTGTATATAATAAAATCAACTCGTATGCAATTCTGATAGAATAAAACATCGTACTTGAATAACCGTGCTTTATCTGTATGGGCAGGTCTTTTTTCTTGAGGATAACTGCAAAAAAACAAAAACAACTGTAATCCACAAAGCACTGTGTGCAGTTTGCACACTGGACCAGGTGAGTCACCTGGAGCTCGCGATGTCCCAGATGAGCCAGTCGTTTCCAGCCACAGCACCAACTTTAATGGTGTTCGTTAGGCACCAATCAGCTGACATAAGTGGCGCCTGGCCGCAGTCTAAGGACAGAATGGCCTGCTGGGTGACCAGGTCATAAAAACGTATTGTGCCCCTTTTTTCCGCCACCATTAACTGAAAAATAACACAGCAAGCTTGCTCAGTATCGCTAAAAGCCTCTAGTGGAGTGTAAAAACATGCTGGCCTACTTTAAGGACTTCTTTAGGGTGCCAGCACACACTGATGCCTGGAGAGCGAAGTCTCAGTGTAGTGTTCTCATTGCCATCTAGGTCCCAAACCCTTAACACAAAATGAAGTTATGAGCACAAGTAAACATAATATTATGTAAATAAAATACATCTTTATGAGCAAATAAGATGGTGTCAGAAATAATTCTATGATTCAATTGTCGTAGTAGAGGCCACTTCTCCGATGCACTCGATCAGGAGCAATTGGTGTGCGAGTTTCCCTTTCAGAACATGTATAACACACATCTATCGAACAGAACATTTGTACATAATGTGCTGAAAAGGAGTTAGATGAAGAATTCAATTATATGAATTATCCCCTAACCACAATGTCAAACTAAAGAAAGACCTATTAGACCACTAATAAACTGAGTTCACAAGCCCGCAACACCACTAACAGCTGACCTGTGCTCCATCACTTTTTCCATCAAAATGTAAGCATCAGGTCCCAAAAAACAAATGGAGATGGAAACCCAAAGACATGAAGCATATCCATGGGAAAGAAAACAACATCATAAAATCAATCGCACAAAGCTTCCCAGAGTTGAAAAGGACATGTGAAAACCCTTGCTTCTTTATCTAATTGAGAAAACAGTGAAGCAGCAGTTTCCGGGTGTCCTAAAATCACAGGAAACAGGAAATTTTGCTTAAACTGCATGATATAATTCAAAATACAGATTGATGTAAATAATCAAAAGCAGCAAGGTGAAAATGAGATGAAATCCCAGACACCGATTAGGGCCGCAGGACAAAGCACACACAAAAACAGGCATACATCTTGTTTTATGATGTATGCATACAACGAAATTTACAAGGATCAGACTAAGTGAAAAAATCTAACAAAAATAAATACACAAACCAAAACTTTAGTGAGAACTACTCCTGTTCCAACATTCCATACAGTTCCCCTTTGGGAGCACTAGGTGGCGACTGTTCTGGGACCGAACAACTGGTACTGCTACTGTGAGCAAAGGTAATCACTACTGAGGAAGTGGAGCTGGTTCCCTGCCTACACTCCTCGGGGTCAGATTTCTTGCTGGCAACTAGAAGAGTTCCCACATCAGCAGGGAACAATGATGACAAAGCAAAGGACTGCCAAACTTAACAGTGATGAGGAGGTCCTGAGATCATATACATGACGAACTTTCCCTCCCATTCATAGGAGCGGTCTGCTCCTCTGTGGCTCAATTTGTGTGGGCTGACACAAGGTCCGCTTCTGTTAACTTGATCTATTCCTTACTACCATATTTTCCAAACATGACAGAATTCAAATCTTTCAGCAGATGGAGTGCATTGCTTTTTTTCTAGACTGTCAGCAGTAGAAGAAGAGCAGAGTGACCAAAGAAAGGACTCAAAAACTAAACGCTTTATCAATTATTTTGATTATAATCATGATTTATTAGGTTGTTTTGACACTGCCTATTTGAAATTCTAATAAGATCTTAATATTAAAATCTGAAAAGAACTTTTTCTCATGCTGTAATTTAAGTGAATGTTGTAGATGTAGACAATACAGCTAGGACTTCATGCACCAAGTGTATACCTGCAAGTGTGATCATCACTGACAGAAGCAATCTGTTTTCCCTCGGTAGGCTCAAACACCAAATGGTTAATGTAGCTTGTGTGGCCTTCCATTATCTACACAACAGCAAAAAAAACCAAAAAAAACATTTAATACATTTTTTTGATCCACTTAGTGTTTTTGTTAACGCTTGAAATGTTTCTTACCTTGACTTCGTGCTTTTCCTGAATATCCGAAGTGAATAGCCGCAGTCTTTTGTCAGCAGCAACAGTGCAGAATCTATAAATTAAAAATGTAGGAACTGTCACTCAGCTGAATGTGGGGCATGGCCTCTATAGACCAAACTGGTGCATGTACCACCAAAACAAATACAAGAACATGATTTTATCAGAATTTTCATCTACTCATAACTGCGCAGTGCGTATATACTATGACCATCACCTGATATGAGGAATTCGATCCAGATGGGACTCTGGGCTCCATGCAAGAGCATCAACTCGTACTTCATGATGAAAAGCTCGAAGAACTGTGAACTCAATACCTTCAATGTCCATATCCTCCTCCTAAAAAATATTTATCCCAGAAGTTATATTTGATTGTGAGTATAATAAAGCAAAGCGGACTGACCTGAAAGAGGCACGTTCCAACGACAACATATTGGTTCCCACCATAGGCTAAGAGAGATGTAGGGGTCCCAGATGGGAAGGGGTTGAATTCGACCACATTAACATAATCATCACATGTGACGGTATAGCTCGGGCTACGGCAACTGTCCTCATGTACTGTACCTGAGGATAACCATAAATACAGATACAGTTATATTAATATTAACTTCTACTTTTGGGTCAGATCCCCATAAACGTTACAAAGAATAAAACATCAGCCTTTTGTATAGTGAAACAACAATCATTATAGGCAACCCAACACAGTTAAAAACAGTCTTGATTACCCATTCTCTTCTTTATGCTTGTGCTGTGTTTTGAGCGGTGCGCGCATGTGAAAGCCTACTTCCTGGTTCGACTTGGACCGTACCATTGTGCAATACAACAACTTCTTAAAATGCCAACACTCAACCAAAAGCACAACATTTATTATGACATATTTAATTATATTGATGTACTTAATATAAATGTTAGCCAATTTTAATCTAAATACATATTTTCTGCTTTGATAAGGGAGTTGCAGGTTGTCTTGGTCCGTGACGTCACTGGTTGTTTAAATTCAAACAGTTGCCTCCGTGTGTGGTGCTGCGTTTCAGATTGTTTTCAGGTTATTGCAAATTTCCGACACAAACCGTATTTTTATACACGCGCAATGCAGAATCTAGACGAGCTTCTGCGTCAGATGGTGAGGGTATTCAGGAGAGAATGTCACCGAGTCCACCAGTCAGAGAGGACCAGCATTCATGGGGCAGATGCCATGCTCCTGGTGCTCCAGCTTGCGATGGCAGAGGTTAACAAAAGGGTAAGATTTCATGACATCTGTATGAAATCTTCTCACACTGTTATCTCACTGAATATATTTGTTCTGATTCTTGTTACAGCAACGTGGAGAGTTCATGGTGACCCTAAGTGATATCCTGTTGGCTTGGAAACACTTAATTTTACACAAATTGAATTTGCCTCCACCGTGCTCTGTGAATTTGGAAACAAAATTGAATTACAATCTCGTTCTTGAAGAATATAAGTCCTTCCTCAAAGTTTCAAACTCTGTGGATCTGCTGGATATTTACTCAATGTACAAAGATCTGAAAGTGGATTCAGATCCGGAGGTTTCCTTAAATGATGTAAGCTGGATGGGTGTTTGTGTGTGTAAGTCAATATGGTCATTAAATGTCTTTTTAAATATTGTTTATCCTTTCCTTCCCAGACCCAGCTTTCTGAGTATTTATCTGGAAACCCCAAAGTGGCTCAGACTGAGGTTTCTTCCACACAATCTACACCATCAACCCCACTGAGCACAGCAAGGAGATGCAGCTCACAAGTACGCTGATGATGGTAGACCAAGAGTGACAATACATGCTTATTTACTCCTGTTTTGAGCCCCACATTCCATGTCCCAGCAGTTTATCCTAATCATAGAATTCTGTTTTTTCATTGTTATCACTTTCCAACTTTTAAACATAGTGTACACACCCATAATAGAAAAGTCAAATTTTATTTGTAAACTTCACATTTATTATTGCCATGACAGAACAGAAATAGTAGTTTGTTTATTAAAAAACTGGTCTGGTAAGTCCAAGTTGATTTAAAAAAAAAATATATATATATTACTTTTAACCATAACTAGTTAGGGTACATTATTTGTAAATTCAGTGACAGTCCATTGATTGCAATATATTTTGTAACAGATGAAAGCTGCTGTGAGACGTGTTTTCTGCTCATATCTGAGTTTACTGGTCAATGCCAAGAATGACCTGGCTATAGCACTTACTCTTGATGTCCCAACTCGCAGTCTTGGACGAGATGCCTTTACAAGCATCAAACATGCTGCCCGTGATGACAATACCTCTCTGTTTCTGGTAAGCATCTCGCAGACCCAGAATGAAACATAATGAGTGAAAGATAAACTTCTTGCAAAAGTACAACATTCATTACATTATATTCTATAACGCAATGAAGCACTGTTGACTTGTTTTGTTATTAGGCTGTTACATCCTTTGTGAGAGCTATCCAACTCGGAGGCAAGGGTTACGCCCCAGCAGAATCTCATCCATTAAGGAAACATATTAAAGGCCTATCTAACTTTGTGCAAGTCATAGACAATTTGGAGGAAATAGTTGGAGAGATCCCAGACCCAAGGTAAAAGTCATGTGTGTTTTAATATTCATAACATTATTATTCTGCGTCCCGTTAAACTAATTAGTGTTTAAAAAAAAAAAAAGTTTGTGTTGTACTAGACTTGTGACTGCGATCAGAGCACTTCTTGTGAAGGGACGCAACAGTGGAGATCCTGTGTACATGGCAGCTGACAAGACCGCAAACGAGTTAAAGGAAAGAATCTTACAGTTGCACCAGAGACGGACTGCTAACGAGTGCTCGACTGGGATAAGTCCTGCCAGAGTAAAAATACTTCACTACTCTTCTGCACTTGCCTCTGTTGGGCTTTCTTTTTCTGTGGTTTGTTACCAGAGTTTGTTTTTACTTTTTTAACCAGCCAAAAGCATACGCGATCAACCATGCTACGGCATTTGGAGGACGGGACACTGTTAAGCTGCTCATGGCGTTATTGGACGAAGAAGCCTTGACTGCTCCTTGTTCCAATAAAGCTGATTTGTTGTCAGAGGACCAGCCTGTACTCAATGGAGAAGAGGGCATCTGTGTGCTCACGTTGTACAGGTGAATGTGTGTTTTGTTTTTTTGTTTTTTCTTGTGAAGTTTATTCATGTAAGCCGTTGGTCACTGGACGGGTTTCCAAATACTGCGATAACCTCAATATAACTTAAAGCTTTGTTTACAAATTAGATCTCCTGAAGTGTCCACAGGATGCTCTCCAGTTTCTTTAACAAACCGGGTCCAAAGCCGACTGGAACTGCTTAAACCTGAGGTAATGCAGGGGTTTTATTGATGACATTTTAACATTTCTGTGTTTCACATAAGGTGGATACAAGTTGAATATGAGTGTGTTCACAGTTAAGTGTCAATTGAAGTATCTCGACTTTAAAAGGTTATAACTTAAAAACTAAAATTACTATCATAGATTGGAAAAAAGATTTCAAACACAGACACATCAAAGAGATAGTGTGGATAAAATCAAAAGGAAAGATTGTCAAATATATTTTTGGTGACATTTTAAACGACAAAATCAGCCTCTTTTTTGACCATTCTACTGTGACGCCGGTTACATAGAAAATAAAATGTCCTCAGTCTGAAAAAGCAGAAGATGAAATCCCACAAGATTATTATGGTTAACACAACATCAGGAAATCACTTGATATAAAAAAGAATCGTTAAAAAATAAAAAATAATTAATTAATTAAATGACCCCTGAAAAATGTATAACGGACGTGATGAGGACGGTCCTCTTTTCTCTAAAATTTAAACTTGAGAAAGAAAAAAATCTTGTCTGGTTTCACATTTAATTGGTTGACAATATGAAAGTATCACTTTGTTTCTACTCTGTGTAAAAAAATAGAATCTCTGAAACAAATGTGGACATCTGAAAATACCTATCAAACTTCCGCAAAGCTCATTCCGTCAAATCATCACGTCCGTTAGATAAAATAAACAGGGCCGCTGTAGGAAACTTGTCTAATGTATAAAACAGTTATGTTCTAGCAACTTCTAATGGACAGAGGAGGTGTTTGGAAACATGAAAAAACATAAAATATCTTCTGATTATTAAAATCTAATTGTTGGCCTTTTGTCACACTTTTGTGCCCTTTAGTGTGAACAAGCCCATATCAGATGTATACAATGAAGTTAAAGATCTAAAAGCATGTAATGCAATCCAAAGTAATTGTTATGTGAACTATAGATTAAACTAATCAGATGGCTTTGCTGCTATCAAGCTAGAAGTGGGGAAATGAAGGTGCAAAGAGATTTTTAGTAGATGTCATTTAGCTTCCCTCATTCAGGAACTCATTAGTGCTGTAATGCTCGGCGTAGATTTTTTTCTGCATTTATTGCACATTCAAGATTCCATATCAGAAACTTCAGACATTGTTCTGTCGTATGATGGTCTCCAATAGATATGGTGAGATAAGTTGGGCAGGCGCTTGGCTACATTGGCTGTTGCACTAGTACATTTTATTCTCAAGGATACAAAATCATACAAACGAAAGTTCCCAAAAGATATAAAATATTTATCCTGTGGGAACGAGATAGATCTTGTGCGCACAAGCTAAATACAATATTTGGGAACTTTTGGGGCTCCGTGAAATCATCTTGTTTTGGGCTATGTATTTTTTCATCAAAAAAAGTACTTTACACAAATCCTGTAGTCTAATCAGAGTGTCTTTCAGGTTAAAGGAAAAGTTATTAGATCTCAATTTGCCTGCACCTACATTGAGGACGAGTTGCCACTGAACCGTGTTCTGGAGTTCCCTAGTACCAGTCAGGTACCATCATGTATTCACCCAGCTCCCAAACCCAGGGAGATGTCAATGGAGGAGGGCCTCCACAGCAGAGAGAGTGCAGGTATGGAGAGAACATTATTTCCATTATAACCCTTATTGTAACACCCTTTCAGCCAAGATTGAGTTACTTCTGACGTCACCCGGCTGGTCGAGGCCCAGGTGCAGCCTCTGTGTCAGTGCTGACCTCTTCTTATCCCCAGCTCTGGGACTGGTACTTGCATCAGCCATTAAATGAATCCCCATTCTATGAAAACTTCAGTCTCACATCTGTAGCAGACTAAAACGTGTGCGCACACACTTGCCTTTTTCCTTTCTGTCTTTCGTTTTGTGGGAGTTCAGGCTTGGCACCATCAAATTACATGACAAATGTTCACTTTTGGTCTCATAGAATAACCATACGGCCTGCCTTTTTAATAAGCAGCCAACGTCAGCATATTTTTCTTTTATTCACAGAATTTTGTCTTGTTTCTTTTCAGACTCTCAAGAACCTGAGATTAGTAACTTGCGACAGCCGGCTATGCTGGCAGTGAAGGCTGGAAATGCCCATAAAAGCGTTGCTGGGCCAGGCAAAAAAAGGAAAACTGGCATTGACGTTCAAATTAAGACCAACAAGAGGAAGCGGGTGGAGACTGACCAGCCTGGAGGGTCAGAAAATAAGCCTCCAAATGAGAAACCTCCCACTGCAGTGAAAAAACCTGGTAAAGCCATCAGCAAGAATACCAATAAAAAGTTGATAGCTGGACAGGGCAAGCTTACAAACTTCTTCAGACTGTAAATCATCAGTTGGTTTTTGTGACAAGATTTTTCATTTTCATGTTTTTAATGTTATAAATGACAGTCATCCAAATCTTTATTTTAATAAACTTGTTTTTATTTTTAATTCTGCCCCTTTGCCTTTCTTTGCATTTAAACTTCCCAGCATGGCCGATAAACTCTTCCAATCATGCAACGTAGCACTGAAACAGAAGACGATAATCGATACTTGAACATATCACGTATCAAAGGCGTTAATCACATTGTGCATGAGACCTACTGTCGAGGTCTGTGTCTCTGCGATCCATTTTAAGGCTGGATTTCGGACGCATCCCAGACCTCCGCGATGTGAAGGTGAAGGCGGGGATCAGATCATTAGTGCCTTGTCCCCTCAGGTGCATATTCTAGAAAACAATTTAAAATATTTTGATGCAACTTGGACCTCACAGGTTTCCAGCTAAGTATTTAAGGACTGTAACTTTGTTGAAGCACAGGTGTTACATGATCCAAACGGAACAAATGTGTTTCCCTATTTTTACGACTTTACAGCGGCCCATTGCTTTTCTCATGGTGTATTTTATCCAAGAGGCTTTGCTCTCTCCATCAATGAACGTCTGTTCCCAATTATTTCAGAGATAAGCAAAATGTTCATGACACACTGGAGGAATAGCACTTTTTAATACTGTGCCAAACTCCTATTTTTATGGTATTTCCCTCCTACCAGAGCTGCTATAAAATCATTTTATCAATGAATACAAAGATCTCAGTGGTCAATGGAAAAACTTGCTTCTAGAAACTTCAAGTGTAATGGCAAATTGCTTAAGGGCTCACTTTTATAAATGCTGTTACTTTACATAATTCCTGATGAATACTGTCATTAAACTCAATCTAAATGCATTATAATTACTGTACTAGTACAAGCTAGTACAGTAATTGCATTCTTCTGATTTAGGGAATGAGTAAATGTTACTTACCGAAAGCATATTAACCTGTGGAGTTCCTTTCCCAGTCTGAATGCTGCTGCCAAGGCCGGCGCTGCTGTGCATTAAGAATGCTAACTCTGGCTCAGAGATGGGCTGATCATTCAGCATCAAACCTTGTTGTTCATCGCTCTCCTCAATCTCGCTTGCTGGTAAAGCAATGGCCACCCAGCGACTGCTCAACATGGAGAATAGAACGAGAGTAAACAGAACTGAAAACACTGACATTGTAACCTCTATGGTATATTCAGCCTACTGCGTTCTGCTGTACCGACTGGATATATTTGTCGTATAATTTGGTTTCTGGTGTCTTATATATGGTCTATGACATAATTTAGCATTTAAATATGAAAAGGAACTGTGTACGCCAACAAGACATTTGAAGAGATTCATGTTGATAATCTGAAGAAAAAGCAGACTATATTGGATCTTCTTAACTCTATTCAGAAGGGCAGAGTTCATAAGAGCAGAGCACTGTTGGTATAATAAAAGAATATACCACACACCGTGAAGTGGCCTTTTGTTAGGTATAATGAGATCCTGGATCGGATCACGCTCTGACTCAAAGTGCTGTAATTGAGACTATTGATATTTGTAAGAAGGTCACAGAAAGATGTGAGCAATTACCACATCATAATCTAATGCATCAGTCTGTTCTACACTACGCCATACACCAGTATGATTAAAAGGTGGATTTAAGATGTTCCATGTTGCTTCTTGGCTCAAAGGGTTAGCTTATTAACATCAGAAGTCATAGTTCAGTATGAGACAGGACATGTGCAGCTGAAGTGATTTTGCTTGGAGCGTTCAGCCTTTATTTTGCAAGTATTATTGTTGGAAGTAGAGGGGCTTCTACTGGAAAACCACACTTGTCCCTTGGTACATGCTTGCTCCAGTAGAAGGCTGGAGTGGTTTGATATGTATATACATGTAAAAGCTTTTTGTTGGCTATTGTATAAAATAAAACAAAATATTATGAAAGGTATTGTAAAATATCACTATACCAGGCCCAGCAGTGGAAAGGTGTCTTCAGTGAATCTGCAGTTTGTCAGTTTAGTTTCTGAGTTGTTCCCAATCTGGGGAAATAAATGCTTGTTGATAATTACATTCTTGCGCAATGTTGTTATACAATACAAAAGAAAATATATCATGTGCCTAGTTTCCACCCCTAGTCTGGATGAAATTATATGTAACTTTGACAATATTGCTCTTTACATCACTTTATGTAGTGGCCAAACATACCTTTAAAAGTCTAAGATTGATCTCTGAAGCCTGGATGGTGATGTTGCTGTGGCTCTGAACAGATTTGTAGTTTGCAAATGATGTGGTCTGGGGCCTTATAGATACAAATTGGCAGCCTCACTTCTGTCAGTCTGACTTTGGGCGGCTGTGTCACCGTCTACAGTCTATACAAACTATCCAGAATGGAGTGTATGTCATGAAAGATGCTGCATATTGTGAATCCTATGTTAGAGGTGACCCAAAGTTCTATACAAGTGAAGACAATCCATAATTGTCATATTTGTATTGGGTCCGCATTAGTCAGTTCAGTGATTATTATTCCTGGGATCCACACAAAATAGTTTTAGGAGGGAAAAGTTCAAATCAAAGCTCAAACAGTGTCCTCAGATGCACCTAAATCTTGACTTCATGAATCAATTGATGAATAAATTTGGGGATTTCACAAGGTTCAGTATTCCCCTTATTCATGGTGGGCGGGTGTGATTAAAAGCTTATATCCTCAACCCGCATTTTGATCAATGTGTGCTTGGATGTATGGTTTCCCACCGTGCACTCATTCACAATGGAGCTGCTGCCTTGATACTATAAACCACTGATGATTACATTTCGTGTGCGTCATCAGAAGCAAACCTGCCTGCTGCTCTGAACTACCGAGAGCCATGTTGGCTTTGGCACAACTCGAACTCCGAAGATCACTTTGACATTCAATATAGTCTTAAACACAGCAGTTGCAACTTTCCCACTGAAGTGCGTCCGCTCAGCTGTGACGGGAATCCATGCATTGTGCTGTTTGAATTGTGAAATGAAAGTATAAAACAAACATAACATGATTTATTCCAGTTGAAGGTGTGGCTGTTTTTTTTATTCAATAACTCTTCATTGGAAAACATTGAACATGTAGTTTATTCAGCAGGAATGATGTACTATTTTGTTTGTACAGAAGGCAACAAAACAACAGCTGTCATCTCTTACAATGTTTGGTAGTGACCCTAAAAGCTATTAAAAAAAACAATATGATAATAGATCATAGATGGGAAACCCTGTAGCTTAAAACAAATCATTAACTGGCACAGGTCCTTTTTCAACATTTGTTACACAAGTTATAGACAAAAGACAAACATATGATTAAAAACAGCATTATGAGACTAAATATGATTGATGTGGGTATAATATTTATCTTTGGTTTTAATGTTTTCAATATTTACAGTATTTTTTTCACTGCCATAGTGCTTCAACCGAAATGTGCAATGGTATTTTGGAAAAAGATGATTTCTATGGCACGGTGGACAGCACATGAGGGTTTGACTCCTGGGACAGACAGGGTGAGTGTTGAGGTGCTGCATGTGTCTCTCGATGTCTGGTGATATTTCTGACATTCAAAAATGCATTAAAATAATCTGTACCATTTACTTCAGTCAAACTGGGAGGGATGCCTCATGGCTGAATAATGCCTCTACCTGCTTTTATGGCAATTCTTTTTAACCTATTTTCAGTCACACTTAGTGTTCGTCTTTTACAAAGGTTTAACATACTTTTCATCTGGTTCTGCAAAAGGGAAGATCCAGTCAAATACGAGAAAAAAAAGCAATCATACTTCTCCATTGGTATTGCATGGTCAGTAACAGTATTTAGTAATAATATCCAGAAAAAACATCAGGCAATGAAAGAATAAAATGGTTCCCACACGTCTCTGCAAAGGGTAAGAAGTCTTTCCTTTTGTGTGTGTCGGCAAACCAAACTACAAAGTAGCACCATACAAGGGATTCACCATTCCAAATACATGTGAAGTACAAGTGTTACTTATTATGATGCTAAAACATGACAAAGTTCACATTTATGTTGTGTATACAGTTGAAAGGATGGTTATGCGTTTCTTAGTGTTGTTGACTACATTTCCTGTTCCACCAATGGCCGCATCCAGTTGATCATTCTTCAAGTGTGCCCTCCTCTGATTGGCTGAAGCTTCTCTGATGCCCTTCCATTGGATTTCTAAATACTCGTTTGTATCTCTGCAGCATAGTCCTTCAAATGTCCAAGTGTGGAATAATACAGAGTTGAAGATCCTTCTATACTCTTAGTCAACTGAAAAGTCGCGTTCTGTTTATGCTGAACACAACGAGACCAGGTAAGGCCACTTCCTTTGGATTGTTGATCCTCTTCTTAAATTCTGTAACTTCTACTGGAAGCGGTGTCTCGGCTTGAATTTTTGTGATGGACTTCCTGAGGGAAAGTTACATTTAAGATGAAACATTAGGCTACATTATTCTACTGCAAAAAGTACAAATACAGTTTTTGTAACATTTACAACCAAATAGTTTTGGAAATATCACAACAAACAAAACTTAAAAGTGTGGCGTTTATCTGTGTGCATTAAATAGCCTTTGAACATATCACAATCTTGTCAATGTTTATTTGGCAGTGCATGATGAACACAAGTTTGTGTACGCTCTCAGTCGTACAGGGAGTAGTCAAAACAAAGGAAGGTTGCTTTCATCTGTACTTCAGTTAGCTAACTGAAGCTTAGCAGGTCTTATTGCTGAGAAGCATGAGTGCTAGGAGAGCCCGTTTCTGTATTGGTCAGTAAACAGCATCACAAAGTCCAAGGAGCACACCAGAGTTGTAGAGACTTTTAAAGGTGTGTGTCCTCTGAGCTGAGGTTTGAATACTGCTCCCGACATAAACATTTTTGGTTGAGTGATCAGATCGGTCGATCCACAGGATCTCAGGTGAGAAACCAGCAGCTCCCACTGGTGATTGCCGCTGTGTGTCCTTGGGCAAGACACTTAACCCGTCTCGCCTCCAATGTATTTTCATACAATGGATTTTTTTAGTATGGCCCAGTTAAAGTCCAGCCTAAATCCAATTTTAAAATATGCAGAAAGTTCTAAAAACAAATTCTCTTCATCTAATCTGACAGAGCTTGAGTTCTATTGTAAAGCATAGGCCAAACATTCAGTCTCTAGATGTGCAAAGCCTGTACAGTCATACCCCAATAGACAAAAGGGGTTCCACAAATTATTACTCATGCTGTATGATTAGTTCTGCAAGAACAGAGTCGGTTATTATTATTATTATTATTATTATGGTCTTTCAATAAAATGGAATACAATTCAATTGTTTATTCAAGATATTTATATTGAACTAATGCAAAGATACTGAGAAAGTAATTCCTCGGAACAATTCATATTACTTTCTACAAAATCTGAAATTTAATTTCAGACAGTTATAAAATAGAAATGTGAGCAAACTTTTATTTACGACGCCATAACATAGAAACTCAGAATCATAAAGCGAAATAAAGCCTTCTGTACCTTAATTGATGCATGGCTGTGGGTGTGTGTTGATCTCTGTGAAAAGAAGTGAAAAACGTATACTTATCTTTGTCACAAAAACCCAATCGTCCATAATAGAGGTCACAAGCACTCGCATGCAGACCCTTTATTAGAATGTGACACATTTATTCCATTGATAGTGCACATAATGAAATGCTCTAACATCCTGGGTCTTCACACCATGATTACAGAATACGTGTACATGTTGATCATGAATGGATCTAGTTTGGTACATGCTCACCTTCTTGCTTTTTGTCTTGTCTGGCTGCTTTGCTGTCCTACGCTCTGATCTCTTGTCCACTTGCTCTGCAGTACTAACCTTGGCAGGTCTCGGCACGTCTGTGTGGCGCTGAGAGCGCACAGACCGAGGCGGTTTGCTCGTCTTTGATGGAGCACAGTACATCTCCAGGCGCCGCAGCTCACAGCTCTGGAAACAGCACTCATCCACAATTCCTCGTGACCGCCGCACATTAGAGCCATAGCCTGTTGGCTTACCTGTTTCAAAGTTCAAAGCAATACAAGAGTTAGGGTTTGTAAGTTCAGTGAGTAAGTCAGTACGTTATGTGTCTAGACAGACACAATTTTGTGAATTATTCTTGATTCCACATAGAAGTGGTATAATACTCTGGTCACAACTGCCCAGTGGCAGTCTGCCCTCCGACGACCTTCAATCCCCTGACCCCACCTTGGGAAGCAAACCCTATGCTCTAGTGTAATAAAAAACGTTTACATTTAGAGTACACTAGAAGTGCTGATGTTGTTGCATCAGCATCAGTGAATTACAATTGTGCATAAACACTTCAGGTATGGGTGTATGATCCCAATTTGCCAGGAGTATGAATTACTGAATTTATTTCAGCCTCCGTGGAAAAGTTATCAAGTATACACCTGACTTTTCAGAAATACAGTACATACTTAACACACACACATACATACATAAATACAATATATTCATATGTATGTCATGTGATACTTCCATTGTTGATTTGACATGGCACATGTTTTGTATGTTTCATAATAATAATAATAATGCATCAGTTTTATATAGCGCTTTTTTGGACACTCAAAGACGCTTTACATTATTCGTTCACTCCATACACGGTGGTGATAAACTACTACTGTAGCCACAGCTGCCCTGGGGCACACTGACAGAAGCAAGGCAACCATTCTCACACACACCAGACTCATTCTAGGCAATGTGGGTGAAGTGTCTTGCCTAAGGACACAACGGCAGTTTAGCACTTTACAGCCGCAGCCGCCCCACTGTGGCTGGTGTTCCCAGAGGTTTAGTGTCTTGCCAAGGACACAACAGCAGACATCAGTGGGAGTTGGTGGAGAAAGTCTTGTGGTGGGCTCGAACCCACGACCTTCTGGTTTAAAGGCCAATGTCTTACTGTCGCCCCAAGTCATAAGACTTTGTTGTTCATTTTTCAGTATGCATGCTAAATCAAATTGCACACAAATGTTATATAAATGTCTTCAGTCTCACTTATGTCTCCTCATGGTCTGTATCGATGGACCATCACACACCCAGTGCCCAGCTATTATGGATGACTTTATGATGAAGAGATAGGTGGGTTTTATGTCAAAGTAGCGTGAAAGGGAAATCATCATCCTATAATCCTCATAATCTCCAGATGCTGAGGCACAAGATTGTGGGTCTGAGCAAATGCCTGTATGAGGATGAGAGCAAGACTGCTGCTTGATATGAATGTGTACAGGCCAATAGATCCATGGTATAGGCTTACAAGTGATGAAATACATAATATCACTCTCTTCTATATGACTTCTTCCTTGGGAATAGAAATAGGCTCCAAACTCTTCCAATGTATTCCAGCCAAGAGAAAAAAGTGTGTGTTATTCTTGGAAAAGAGGAAGAGTGCTGGCTGGGACAGTTCGGGCCAACGTTATCAATAATTGAAAAGGTGCACTTACTGAAATAAAAGCCTCGTTCTCCGCACACAAACTGAAGCGTGTCGACCAGCTCCGCCCCACACAGCGTCTCGGAGCCGGCCCCCGTGGCCCCCGGAGTCAGCGCGAAGACGCAGAGCAGTGACAGGGCATGGCTGCACAGGACACAGCCCACCACACGCTGCATGCGCACAAAGACACATTAGTGCTCCACACACGCAGCTCCAGCTTGGGACATGAGTTGGCAACATTTAACATCTCACACTGAACTCATGGTAAAAAATGAAATGATGAAATATGTGGTTAACCCGGCTGACATCACATAAAGCTGGAGTGGCAAAGACATATACGAATGCACCCAACTCCATCTTGAGCAGTAGTCGCTCCAAACGATTAAAAAAACTTATATCAAATAATATTGAGGACCTATAGCCTAAAGTATTGCCTATAAATAACATAAAAGCACAAACCTGAACGGATCTTTAGTTATTAGCACTTTTACTATAACTACACACACAAAACATGTCTTAAAAGTGCATATATATACACATAGACAATAGCCTCATGCACAATATCAACCAGCACATATGTTATCCAAACCGTGACTGCATGATAAAGTAGAGAAGTGTGTAAAAGAGGATAAAACGGTCATGCATATTCAGAAATAACCAGTTGTAAATATCATATGAAAAGCCTACAAAACGTAAGAATGTCCACTTCTTCGTCATGTGTTAAAAAAAAAAAATAGGGTATTGTAAGTTTAAGGCATTTGCGCAAATCTCAGTAATAAAGAAAATCAGGTGATAATAATGTCAAATGAAATCGGTGAAGTTACCTTAAAGACATCACATAAATGCCAATGAGAGAACAGAGCGATAGACATCACTTCGGGTCCCCAAGAAGACAAAGCCCGGTCAAATGAACCTGTTTCAAATCATTAAGAGAGGATGAGATGCGGGCTATGTCACATCTCAATATTCCGGCTATGTTCCATTGCGCAGGCTCGTTTGGGAGAAGTGAGATTTAGCGAGCAGAAGATGGATTTAGAGAGAAAATCCCTCACATTTATCTACATTACACAGACATTTGAACAGGAAACAGCTGGGACGGCATTGCTGCTACTCCAGATTTTTTTTTTTTTTTTTTTTTGGTCGGACTTGGTCTAAAATATGTAATTTCGTTTTTTATGCTGCACAATTCAATTCATTTACTCATTGAGTATAGGAGATGGTGGATTCGTATAGACTTGTAAAAAAACAAATACTTTTAATTCAGATATTTTGATTTAGATTCAACTTTCTACCACAACTTTACTGTAACTCTAGGGATGGTTTTTATCAGCATCCTGACACGAATTCATATTTAATTACGTGACAATTCTGTGTGCGTATGTGCCTTATAATAGATCCATGGTATGTGCGCACTCTCTCCGGGCTTCGCCATTGGCTAACATCACGCCAAAGATCTACATCCGAATTCAGCAGACTTACCTCCTTCCTCATCCCTCCTCATCCTTTGCTGTGCTTCAAATTTATGACACGGGGAATCTCCAGCTTTGGTCAAGTACAGTTTTTAAAGATTTTAATGATGCCAGTTAAGTCACAATTAATGCCACGAAGGTTAATAAAAAGTAGAAGTCAATAAAAGACAGCCAGGGTAAGGAAGGATGCAGCCAAAAGACCCAAAGACTATTCCAGGACCTAATGTCTTGATTGAATGGACTCTTGATTCTAGAAAATAAGGTCTTCTGAAACCAACTAATAAGACATTTAAGATAATGTTAAAGCTATATAGGAGGATTTCCCCAAATTGTAGGAAAATTCCGCCCTCTCCACTTTTCAAACAAAACTCTCTGGTCTTATTTGACGAGCACGTATCACCAGAATGATTGACAATAGGAGGACCAATAGTCTTGATGATCCACCTGGAAGTAGAAGATCCTCCTATATACCTTTAATTATAGCTAACCGTCATACAGCCTTGGTTCCATGTGCTACTTAAGCCACTTTATAATATCATACCTCTGGTCAATTATTGATAGCCTGCACTGTTAAATATCTATTGTGTGAACTTATATCTTTGACTGTTATTTTGTGTGCTCCCTGTGTGCTCTCACTGTGTGTGCGTTGCAACATTGAAATTTCCCCACTGTGGAACGACTAATTATTCTCTTATCTTGTCTTATCTTTTGAAGATGTTGCAGGCCCTTATATCTACTTTTGACTATTGTATTACTTATTGGCACAATAAACACAATTTGAAAAAGTAACTCAAATAAATATTGCATTAAATTTGTTTTATTACAATCAGAAACTAGATTCACTGATGATGGAGGTATTAAACAAGGGGACTCCATTGCCCCCTACCTGTTGCTTTTAGTAATGCAGGCTCTGTCAACCTTCATTTCTTCCAAACTAAAGAAATCACTTCAGGAGACAATGCAAAACAATGCAGCCAATTAGCTGATGACACCACTATTTCTGTTGCACTACAACATTTTAACCTCGAGGGAAATATTTTTATGACAATAATATCAAATATCTGAATGGGAATAGTAACTCACAAACTGTATCAGTAATGCATTTATTTTTTTGAAAGTCGCCTAATACTTTCTCTAGATAGACGTTAGATAAAACTGAAAATGTAATGTGGATAAGTCTTCCTTTACAGTCTTCTTAATGTTGCTGTTCACTCAACACTGTCCCCTACGTATTGTTAATGTGGATCTGTCAGGACAGTACACGGCCACAGAAAAAAAATACCCCACAGATCGAAATAAATCATATCACTTATTTTTTCCAGCTTTGAATGTTTATTATTGCAGTGAAAAAAACAGTATTGTGCAGACGTAAGCCCACTCAGATAATCATATCAGTCCAGGAGGACACCTTGTCTTGTTGATTTCCATGGAGATGGTGTTTCTTTGGCCGTAATATTTCTTCCACAATATGGCTTCAAACTCAAACATGTATATTTCAAGAAAGAGTGGAGTATAGTTTTAATTTTTTATTTCTTTGGAATCACAAAAGGTAATTTTCCACCTCCAGAAAATTATTTACTGCTTTATGGACAAAATATAAAAACATATGTAAAATATCTTTTCCTTTCAATTAAGACTGAAATGTTCAGACATTCAATATTGTAAAATAAGTACCGTTTCCTAGCATCAAAACAAGCAACAAACTTCAGAAATAATCATACATATATTATACAAAGATGGAACCATATCATTCAAAGGTGATGCTTACTTCCTCATTTAATGTTTCTAGCTTGACATTGTGAGTCAGAGAATGTTCCCATAGATCATTCTTCTGGAGGAATGACGCCCCACAGTCTTCACACAGAAAGCTCTTTACCTTTCCCACATGTGTTCTTCGGTGTTTCTTCATGTGATAAGACAGCCTAAAAGCCTTTTCACAAATGTCACATTTGAAAGGCTTCTCCCCCGTGTGGATCCGCATGTGTGACTTCAGATACCCAGACTGGATGAAGGCCTTCCCACACACGTCGCACTTGTACGGCCGCTCCCCTGTGTGGTACCGGGTGTGGAGCCGCAGTTCGTTGGCCGTCAGGAAGGTCTTCCCGCACACGGTGCACTGGTGCGGGCGCTCCCCGGTGTGAATCAGCTCGTGCCTCTTCAAAGACGTCTCCTTCATGAATTGTTTCCCACAGTCTTTGCAGGGGTATCTCAGACCCATGTGCACCTGCTCCACGTGATTGGTGAGCTGCTGCTTTGTGCGGTAGGCCATGTCGCACTGTGAGCAGGCCCAGGGCCGCTCCTCAGAGTGCGTCCCCATGTGCACCGTGAGCTCTGATGCGGAGCGGTAACACTTCCCACACTGCCAGCACAGGAACGGTTTCTCCCCTGTGTGCTTTCTCTGATGCACTGTCAGACAGTTGGAAGACCTGAACTTTTCTGGACATAAATCACAAACATAAGGGAACTCTCCTTGGTGGATCCTCCCATGAATAGCCAGGTATGTCAGCTGCATGAAGCTTTTGTCACACTGCCCACAGGGATACGGCCCGGTGAAGTTGTGCTGCTTCTCATAGTGCTCCCTCAGGCGCCGGAGCAACGTGAACGACTTGTCACACATGGTACACTGCATTGGTCGGTGCATCAACTTATGGCGCTCAAAGGCAGCCTCATTGGGCATTATCTTTCCACACTCTTGGCAGTACAGTGGATCGTGGATTCTCTGATGCACTTTGAGCAGTGTCATGCTCTTGAACTCTTTTCCACACTCGTCACATTTCAGAATTTCCCGCACGTCCAGTTTACACACTTTCTCCTGGTGCTCCTTTAGAGACGACAGACAATCAAAATGCTTCCCACAGTTGGAACACCACACGGGGATCTTAATGGATGTGCCCTGGGAATCAGAGCCTGTACTGTCACTGGCTCCAGCTCTTTGTTCTTTTTTCCACAAGAATCTGGTCATTTTCTTGTGACAGATGGCATAGATTTGGTGTCTTTTTAGCCCGTGCATGTGCTTGAACCTCTTTTTGCAGTGTACACAATGATAGGGCCGATCGTCTGTGTGGCATTGCATGTGCCTATTAAACGTCTTTATACTATCAAAAGTCCGTAGGCAGACTGTACAAACTTTTATTAATTTCTGTCTTGTTCTCGGTTCAGTAGAATGAGACTTTATTTCCTTTTCATCACAAGTATCCGTACAACTTTCTGCATCTGCACCAGCCAAAATCTGTTCGACCGATTTGCTGTCTTCTTCCCTCGTGCCCTCGTGCCCATGAATAATCTGATGCTTTTTTAACGTATCTCTGTACTTAAAGCCTTTCTCACAAGAAACGCAAATAAACGGTCGTTCTTCGGTGTGCGACCTCAAATGTTTGGCCATATCTCCATTACACGGTAGAATCCTGCTGCAGATAGGACACGTTTTGCCTTCTGCTGAACCCTCAAGCTCAGGCTGCTGGTTTGCAAGGTCCTTCTTTTTCGTCGTCGTGGGCGGTGATACTTCTCTACTTTTGCATATTTTGTTCTGATGCCTCTTCAAAACATAGGGATTTTTGAATTTCTTTTTACAAAAAGTGCAGCTGTACGGCCGGTCCTCTGAATGGGATTTCATGTGTCGCTCCATGTCAACAAAGCGGGCAAAATATTTACCGCACAAAACGCAATGCTTGTTCTCAGACGAGGGGGACGTGTTTGAATCGGAATCCTCAGCCAGCACTGGACTTCCCACATCCGCCTTCTCGTGAACGCGCATGTTGTGCCGGGTCATGTCGTATTGGTCCCTGAAACTTTTGTCGCAGTTTCCACATTTGTATTTCAGTTCTCGGTTTTCTGAGTGAGTTTCGAGATGGCGTCTCATGGCCGCGGCACGCAGGAAGGTCTTCTCGCACACTGGGCAGGTTTTGTCGCAGGGGAATTTTTTTCTTTGTCGCCTGGAAGTTTGACAAGACTCATTCTTTACTTCGACTTGCTTGCTTTGTTTGAGAGGTTGAAATGGAACAGGCTTTAAGGGATCTTGCTCCTCCGCGTCTGACTTTGCTGTATTAGTCATTTCTTGCTCATTTCCGGACTCCCCCTGGTCGTCGGTCTCGATCAGATCCGATGGCTGTTCGATTTGTATGTAGTCCAACAATGTGACGGTTTGCCCTTCCACTTGAACCGTCACACAACCTTGCATCTGCTCAGAGGAGGCTTCTAACTGGATTTCATCAGCATCTATCACAACTTTTTCCACTTGAGGGAGAGAGAGCGAGGAGAGAATGCTGTTTCCAAAGGATGAGGCAATGGTCTGAGTCTCATCTGCAAACAAAATAAGTAAACAATAAACTTGCATCCCTGCACAAAGAGTTTTACTAATTATAAAGCTGATATTTGAGATGCATATTTGTATTAAAGGCCAGTGGTTCTATAACCTTTCATTCAGGCCCACCATGAAAAAGCTCAATATATACTATAAAACCACAATATCTACTGTAACTGGTGCAACAGGATGCTATTTTGTTATGTAAAACAATGTTGCTAAAAGTAGATTAAAAGCAACAAATCCTGCAATGAAACTGTTTGTAGGCATAATATTAGTATTAACACTAGTACTCCTAGAATTCTCAAACTACTAGTACTCTCCAGAGAATTAATTTTGACCGCTTCCCTTCAAACTAATAGAATTCTGAGAAATAAATGTGAATATAATTAGTTTGGCTGGTGCTGTGTGTAATGGGTGCAGATCTGACTGCCACCCCCATGACCCAGAAATGGATTAAGGGGAAGAAAATGGATGGATGGATGGATATAATTCGTTTTCCAGCAGGTTCATTAAAAGTAAGTATTGTACATGTCTTTTACCTTTACTAACTTTTAATGTGTGCTAAAACAGGTCCTGAACCAGCAACTTGTAAGAGGGGCTTCAACCGTTATTGAAAACTGGTTACCAAGCAATTTTTACAGTAAAATATAATGATTGGGGCTCAACGTAGAAATGCTTAAATTTCAATAATAAAAAAGATAAATTCAAGATAGGGCAGGGCAATAAATAGAATTTAGGCAATTAATCGGCTTTTGAATAAATCGAATGTGAAAAATGTTAAAATCGTGAAATCGAATGAAGGATTTGTGAGAGTTCCAGCAGCAAATGAATCATATTTGCAATATCAGCACAGTCTGTACAAGACTTTTTTTTTTTTACACGTATTAGGGGAAACAAAAATAGAAATAGTTTTGAAACTTGAATATTGAGCAGAAAGATAAAAAAATAGTTTTAAAGGGCAAAGTCAATTTCGATGTTTAGTCACCGAAGACAGTCTAAAGCAGGAAATAAAATCGAGATTTTATTTTTTTGCCATATCGCCCAGCCCTAATTCAAGAACATAAAAGACAGAAATAAACTACAAATGGAAACAGAAAAATTTCAATGTTCGGAAGACCAAAAACTAACATAAAAACAAAACTAATAGTAGTCAAATCGACTGCTCAGGGAGTTCTAGAGTTCACCTGATAAATCCAAGTGTCCGAGTGCAACATGGTGCTGGAGAACGGCCTTTAAATGCTGAGGGTCAGAGAGTGGGTGAAGACAATCCTCCAGGGCAGAGGGAATGGCACAAAGAATAGTGGTAGTCTAGAAACACACAAAATAAAAACAATCATTAATTTTAAAGTAACAACTGAGTTGTTTGAGAATGCACTTCTCACCTGTTGGATGTCAGGTATTGGAAATAACTTCTCTAATCGAGTTAAAAAATCCAGCATCAGCACTTGTAGCGCACTATGGAATTCCGTTCCAAACTCGAGAGGGAAAATATCCTGACCAGAAAGGAATAGTTGTTGAAAGTTAAGATTAAGAACCACTCCAGAAATATGAACAATGCAAAACATACCTTGAAGAAAGTCTCCTTTTTGCTCGGATCTTTCAACAGTAACTGCACTTGATCAACAAACGTGGATTCTGGAAACTCAATCTCTGCAAAACTTGGCTTGATAAAAACATTAATCATTCAAACAATCATCAAGAAATTCTATGATAAATAAGATCATAATAATAGATCAGTAATAACCTGTGCAGCCCAAGAAGACACAAGTTGTTTTATTTTTTCAAGGTGCCTTCCAATCGATTCTGTGTTGGTTATGTGGTCTCCTCTGCACATTTCAAGAACAACCTTCAATACAAATGGTTAAATTAGGCTAATTCTCTGAAAAACACTGATATGACCCAACTCCCCCATACCCTCGCACGGAGAGCAAGCAGCAGCTGAGTCCTCTGATCCACGCTGAGGATGTCAGGGACTATGTCTGTGACAGTGTTGATGAAGTCTTCAACCATGCCATACCCCTGCACATCCCCTTCATGGACAACATGCCACATGGCCGAAGACATCAAGCGCAAAGGGGGTATGAAGAGGCGAAGAGAAGGCAGGGAAAGGCAGTCTTCCGAAAGGGAATAAGATCAACATTAGTTTTATACAGTAATACTCTTAAACAGAAACGTGTTTGTGTTAGATTAAACACACGAAATATCCCATGTTCTAACACTCGACATTTACACTCTGCAAGACAAAATGAACCTTTATGAATCATTGAGAAATGTTTTGCATGAATGGAAGAGATGGTCATGTGGACAATGTTAGTGAAGTGTCAAAGTTGTTATCCACAGCCAGACCTGGCTCAGAACTGAAGCTACCGCTTCGGCTAGTTTGTGTTGTGTACACACCGACGTATCATCTTTAAAACAAACTCACACGCACCCAACAGGCGGATTAACTACACCATACTACTAGGCTAAGGTTAAAGAACTTCACAAACTTAATACACCGATAAAAGCACATTCGTTTCACTGAAAAACTACATCGTTAGCGCCACAGTGAAATCACCTCTCCGAGCGGGATACGCCATGTTTGAAATCGGACGCACACAATGCTAAAGGAACAGCTATTTCTCGTGAATGGGGGTCTAAACGTGCAATATAAATAACTTACCATCTCCAACATGATGGATACTGTCCATGTTACGTTTTTGAAAAGCAAAGGTAAATTCTAAAAGTATCGAGGGTTGTGCTGAGTTAATGTCCGCACGAGCCTGCGGTGCTAATCAGCGGGAGGAGGGGCGGCGCTTCTTTCTGCTAATGCGCAGGCGCAAACTCTCTTTCATCCAGTGCGCCCTCTAGCGGCCTTCCTCTCATCTTCTTGAGTGTAACTACTTCATAACTAGTTTCCATCAGGGGTCTATTATAATAATACCATAGACTGTGGTTGTTCAAATGCATATAGTTACAGTGAATAACACGTTTACATAAGCTGAATTGTATAAAGCATATAAGGTTAAAATACTTTTACTATATTTGTGGCAAATATGCATAACTAGTTACAAAACTAACTACACATCTTTTTCCACATGGTTAGGAATACCTTTCAGGTGTATTTTAACCATAAACATGTCTGGTGGAGTCAGCAGTGCTGTGGAGATGTCATTATTAATAATAATAAATTCTCAATTGTATACTGCGATTTGAACAGTTTTTTTTTCTTCCATGGGCCATAGTTGTCTTTATGATTATAGTACGCTATACATAAAGTCATCTGAGCTACTTCCTTGGGACTTAATAATATTATAATATTCATCTCAAGCATATTTTCCAGAACTTGTGAAGAGTGTGTTTGAAGACAATGCAGGTGTTTACAAAAGCATCACTGAACGACAGCATTTGCAATGTATTGGTCATTTATTAACTGTTCACAAACAATGTCATCAATGACCTGTAAGAATGTGAAAATACTTGCAGATAATTTTGCACATATATCCATGCATCTGCTGCATCTAGGAGACATCTTGTTTCCTACAACAAATAGGAAAATACGCAGGCAAATAAATGCCCTGACAAATAAAAATATGACTGAGCTGGTGTACAGAGGCTATAGCACATTCTTGACAACATGAAACAAGAAGAGCCATGCGAACCAACACTTACACTGCTTTCACCCACTGAAGCATCAAAGCATTTGCTAAACCAATGCTCACTTTTGTTATGGATCTTGGCTACACTAACTCTAGCACAAAGTGCTTGACATCATTTTGAGTTTGCGAACTTAAAGTTGCATTCTCAGGATTCTCAATTAAACATTTGCAAAGGATAAACTTGAGATTTATAACTAAGAGAAGTATAGTATGGGTATGTGTAATTATAGGCTGATAAGAAATGAATAATGATAATAACTAAAATAATAATGTTGATTATGTTGCATTTTCATTGGCTTCTTGTTGTATTCATATTTCTAGTTGCTCACTGTGTTCATTCAACATAATTAATATATAGAATAATCAATATTGCTTAATTCAACACATCTTTATAGGTTCTTTGATAAACAAAATAAATGTGGCATAATATCTAGATGTCTTACACTGTGTAAAATCTATGAAAAATAGGAAAAGACATATGTTTCAATATACGTGACTTAAAGATACAGTTTATGCATATAATCATTTACTCTAGATAAATATAGAATTTGGTCTGTGCTACAATATTCGTTTATATGTCCTTCCTTTTATACTGCATTCTATCATCCAAAGGACAGGGACGACAAGAATAACGACACTCAAGAGACACATTGCATTTTTGCAAGTTGGAAATCAGCAGGAAAAACTATTTTTGGTATGTTGCCAGTCTGGACACGCAGCTTATTTCGTCATGATCGACTGAACTGACTTGGTTTGTTTGTTTACTTGTTTTTGTATTAAAAGTGCAAGGTCATTGATATTGCAGTGCTGTCTCTTCCACGATCCATTTGGTCCTACTTTGCGAGGTAAGGGAGTAGAGGTACAATGAATGACAATTTAAGTGCATTGACATTTGGAATGTTTAGCAACAACTGACAAAAGGTAAAGTGGATAGTGTGGGTTCTTTCCTACAATCGGAATCCACTAAGTTCAACCTTGACACAAAAAGCGCACACCAAAAAGGTGTTCGAAATTATGACACATGCAAATTTCCCAAAACAGACACACATCAGACAACAAAAAACATAAAGTCCCAGGAGCACATTCAATGGGTCTTCAGCAGAACCGTGTGGAATACCGACACAAACTTTCCTTCAATAGAGCTTCACCCTCATGAGCCTCCAATCTTGATCTCTGTTCTGGAGGACAGAATTGTTTTGCATAAATAGCATTTCCAGGGCAGCGTAGTTAGAAGGTGTCATGCAAAAGTCCATTTTTACACAGTCATCAAAGTATAGTTCTCATCAAATAAAGCAGAGGTTTGCCCGAGTAGAAGTTCTGCGTCCATAAGCGCACAGTGGGTAGCAAAAAAAACATCCACAGCAAAAGTGACTAATCAATGATGAAGACCACGGGGGATTGTCTGCTGGTATTATCTATTAGTATATATACCACCACAAACAAAGATGTTTTATAGATTTTTTTTGGGTGAAAGGCCGACACAAAGGCAGACAATTGTGATGTAAAAGGAACAAGGTTTTTTAACCTTTTTTCAATTAGTGTGGCACGCAAAAGCATTCGGTGAATACAGTTACAGCTCTGAGTAATTTGTAAGATTTTCACAGCTAAAAAAGTAAATAAAACCTTAAGTTCTTAGATCTTTCCACAGGTTCTTCGTTTGATTAAGGTCTGGACTTTGACTTATTCCACCACATGAATTTTGTTTTCAACTATATAACATTGTAACTCTGACCCTTAGGTTTTAGGTCATTGTCCTGCTGACTTCAGTATCTTTTCTTCCCAAGATGGTCCTATATTTCTCTCCATCCACCTTACCATCAGCCCTGACACTCTTCCCTATCCCTGCTGAAGGAAAGCTGCCCCACAGCATGACGCTGCCACCACCTTTTTTGACAGTGGTTTTGACCCATGGTGTCATAGTGTTCTGCATTTAGACACACAAAAAACAATGTTGGTCTCACCTGACTGCAACATATCCTTTCTTTGTTGGTTCCATTTGGCTTCTGTTGGTTTTAATTAAACACTGGCTTTGTATTTGTAACCTAAAAGTCATATAAAGGCCATATTTGTGTAATGCATTACTATAATAGTTGTCCATCCATCCATCCATCCATTTTCTTTCCCTTAAGCCATTTCTGGGTTGGGGGTGGTAGCCAGAGCTGCACCAAATTCACAGAGCACCAGCCTTATAATAGTTGTCGTAAGTACAGAAACCCCCAGCTCAGTTATGGATATCTGCTGCTCCTCCAGAAATGCTAAATACACGAGGCTTGCCATTGTGCAAAGATTGGAAAAAATAGTGAAATAAACACTTGCAAATCATACAATCTGATCCTATTCTCAGGACTGGATGTTTAAAGATTTTCAGACTTAAAGAAATGATCACTAAGAAGATCACCATCATCAGACAACTTCTGATGCCGGGGAGGGTCTGCACACATTTGCAAGTCAAACTTCGCAGTTTGTGATGAAAAAAATATGACACAATTCACACTTGACAACTGTCACTATGTGCACTTTGTGTTTGTCTTTCACAAAATCTAATTAAACACAGCAAAGTGGGGTATGAAATATGTAATATATATAAACAGCTTTGTAGAAATTCATATCATGCGTTTCTCTTGCCTAGATGTGCAAGTTGTCCGGTATCCTGTGTGTCTCATTTATTACAGGAGTGATGTGGTAACCAACAGGCAAGAGGACAACCCTCTAATAAGGCAAGATCCTTCCACTACTTTATGAGATGTATGTCACTAAAAATGATCTTTCCACTGGTTCCATAATTAAAGGGTAAATCCCTGACAATATGAGAGCTCCTTTCAGGATCAGGTGGACTTAAGGACGATGCACAACAGCTCAGTGAGCACAGGGGGGCAGTGTCACACCACTGAGCCCTTGGACGTAGACAGGTGGATGGAGTGGATGCGTGTGGCCAGAGTTTTCTCCAGATCGAGAAGGATGTCAGAGCAGGTGCCAGGACTGGAGCTGGGACTCTCCGGCGGAGACGGTTCAAACAACAGCTGCTTGAAGTTCTCCAATTCAATCAGCAGCACCATGTTTTTTAGGAAATACCCCTCAATGAAAGCAGTCATCTCCAATGCCCCCAGAAACTATGGGAAAAAATAGACTTTTTTGTTTGTTTTTTTTTTTTTTTTTTTCAAAAAATCAATTCAGTGTCCACAAGTTTAGTAAGTGACAGCTAACCTTGGCGTGCTTGTAGAGGTCCACGCATGTTTCAGTGGTGATATTCTTGGAGCAGATGATCTCACAGTGTCTCTGAAGGGCCTCTAGTTGGAAGAACTTTGCTGCCGACAGGAGCTGACAGTACGGCCACAGAGAGTGACATGAAATTACAGATAAAAGGCTAGAGTTTCCTTCAATTTGTTCTTTAAGTTGAATTACCTCCATCACCTCTGTGTTTCTTATGTGAAGGGTCTCAGTACCTCCACAGTATAAGTACTGCATGATTAGCTGAAACAATTAAACATTAAACATTACGTGGCTGTGACTGAATGGAAATTAAATAACACATATAAAATAGACCACTCTTACGTGAAATATGGAATATTTAACATGGCTGATCTCTATACAGGTGTTTTCTGCTGCTGGCCGATTTTGAAGCAAAGACTTGAACCTTTAAGATCACATTAGAAACATAAGTATCAAACCACATCAACACATAAACAAAGAAGTGTGTCTTACCTCGCTGACGCTGTGAATAATAAAACCTTATGTGCATAAAATGGTTTCCCTTCCACCAGAAAAGTGACATCGGACATATCTTTATTATTGAGGAAGTGGGGGTCTGAAAAGAAAAGCTTCCCTCTCTTAATTACCACCATCAACAAAAAGATTCAAAGCCGAAAATGAGGTGGAGCCACCATTTGTGAGCCTCTTACCTAAGCGAGAAATCTGTTTCTTTTTGATCTCTGTCAGCTTTGGGATGGGGAACGGCCCATAACATTGGGTGAAAATGACAGACAGCTGCTGACTTATCACTTCGTTCTGCAAAAAGCCAAATGTAGATCAGCGTAGATAATGCCCTGTAAATGCGCCATTGTGGGTAATGTTTTATGCAAAAGACATAATGGCTGGGAGAAAACTCAAAACAACACATGTAAATAGTGATAACACAGCATCATTATCATTATGGTCAGAGCAGAACAGTCGGTGTGGGCTGGACAAAGACCTGTGGGGTTGGCTAATGACTTTGGTTTCATGAGTGTCGATGATAATAGACCTTGTTAGTCCGTAGGATCTGGAACAAGAGAGGTAACCCGTGGGTGATCAGCTCCTCAGTGTACTCGTCCTCCTTTATACAGCAGAAGTCTTTCAGCAGACCCTGGATCAGCGGCCGGCGGTGTTGCATAAAACAAGCCCGAAGGGTTTCGAGCCAAGTGTGCAGCGTCCAGGGAACGCCTGAGAGGATCAGCATATTTAATGTAAATAGCACAAATCAAAGTCGTAGAAATCTGGTTATTGAAACATGCTAAGAGCCTCAGGACAGACCATGTTTCTACAACGTCAGACAGTTGATTGCAAAGACGGAAAATAATCACCACGAACAGCCATGCAATATTCATTATGCAGAATGCATTTCATCTTGTTAATTATGATAATTTGCCAACACAGCTAAACATATGTTGTAGTATACAATAAAAAAAACAGGTTTAAATCAATTGACACTGATAATATGACTATTACAATGGTTCTGATTTGATACATGACAACACAGGACTGGACAGGACGGCCACAGCTTGAGTACAGCTCCAGAACAACTGGAGGCATCAGACAGCAACATGCGAGCCACCGAACCATGAAGAGTGGGTCTGACCTAAACTGCGGATGTCTATGGTGATATCCACATGGCCGTGCTCTGCGCTATGGTACATGGCCTCTCTCAGAGCTCTCAGTTTGGCCTTTCCTGTTCGCAGAGTCCCTCCTCCGTTAACGTGCGGGCCGAGTCTCTTCTCACCCGGCTCCGGGCCCTCAGTCAGGATCTCCTCCAGGGACATGACGTCTGCTTTGTCCTTTTCCGACTGGGACAGCAGCCGCCGAAAGACATTCCTGTAAAAAGAGGTGAACGGGACAAGAAACAAACAACTCAAATCTGAATCCCCAATTGATTTCAAGATTTATGTAAAGATGAATACAGTTTTTCAATAAATAATATAGTGTGCTCTAATTATTATTATTTTTTGTTACTTCTATTGTTGTTGTTGTTGTTGTTGAAAAAAGGTCATTATTCAGACACTTATTATTAATAAAAAGTTGTTGAAGTCAATTTCAAATTTGCATCAACTTAAACCTTTAAGTAGTCCAACTGATAAGTGATAAAATAATAAAAAGCGTAATTAGATATTAAATCATTGTCAATCATTATCAACTCTTTTATAGTATACACAGACCTATATTTCTGGCCCATATTGTCTGCCCCCGACTTAAACTACATTGTACTGATGAATCCCAGTGTGCAGCCCAAGAGATGAGTGTAAATGGATCAATACTGAGGTAATAGTTGTATCTGAAATAGAAGGCATACCTGTGCCCATGAGCTGCAGCCAGGCTGAATGAAGTCATGTCACCAAGTGGAGACGAGGAGATACCATTCCGACATGTGGTCCCTATCATAGGATCTGCTCCCCTTTCTAGCAGCAAACTGACCAATTCAAAGTTACCTAAAGAACAACCAGAGTCAACAACATATACATACATACATACAATATGATACAAATAACTAAAATAGTGATGTGTTATGTTCCTTTAGAGAACATGGACCATGGAGGTACTTAACTTGATCCACAGTAACAGGATTAATGCCACTGTGTATCCAGCATTAATGTATTTTTTATCGATTGTTGTGCTGAGGCAAACACAATCATTGGAATCATCACCTGCAGCCGCCGCCAGCTGGAGGGGGGTGTCGGTGTAGTTCTCTGCCCCGTCCTGCAGGGCGCCCTCTACACTGGCTCCATGATCCAGCAACAACTGTGTTAAAGAGAGAGAATATATGAAGGAGTCACAGACTCAGCTTAAAAAGCTGATGTGGATCTGTGGCATTTACCTCCTAGTTTGTGGTTCTCACCTTGACTACTTCCTTTATGACTTAAAGGTCATACATTATATTTAGATAATGCAATGCTATATGCTCATTATCTTTAACGCTTTGTTGTGCTGCTTGATTAATAATTCAATTCAAAGCAAAATAATTAATCAAATGTATTAGCGTGTATTGTCTAATACATTCAGCATCTAGTTTGAGCCACATTTAGATTCCATAAGGACATGAGCAACATAACTATACAGAATAAAACTGTTTGAAACCAAGATCCAAGAAAGGTGCATTGACTTCCAAGATGTTCATCTTCGAAAGCGCTAAAGAAGAGGACATGTGGCATCCTGGTTGCACCAGTAAAATATTCAGAATATTCAAGTCAGAATTCATAATCTAGCATTTTTATGGTGAGGATGAGGCAAAGGTGAGGCTTAAGGTCACGTTATAAGGTCAATCTACCTGCACAACAGGGACGTGTCCGTGTAACACGGCGAATGTGAGTGGTGTCCCCTGGCGCGTGTCAGGATAAACTGAGGGGTGCTTGTTTACTGTGCTTGGCACCTGAGGAGTCATAGGTAAGGTTCAGGGAGAGACACAGTACATTAAACAGCTCAGGCCAATAGGATGTGGGAGAGCAGACGCATAAGCAGGAGAACAGTGAAAAGAAAGAGCAGAATGTGCTCCAGTGATTTACAAGCAGCATCAGTTTGAAATTCACCCTCATCATAAACTTGCACATTTGTTTTAGATTTATCTACAATAATCTGGGATAACAAGTCGAAAATACCACACAATTTCAGATTACATGTTAGTGAAACTGTAGAAAAAACACAACATTGTTGAAGCACAACAACAACAAGAGCATTAAGCAGCACTGACTCATAAACAAAGTCTAAATACATTAATCTAATTTAATCTAATCTAATAAATCTCTTTTGCCTATAACAGCGAGATCTACTGTGTCTGGTCTATTTTGTTCTAGTTGCACTTTGTGTATGAGTCAGCATGGTATTGATGAGATGACCCATGTAAAAAAAGCAGTAAGCTACGATCCCCAACCCGAAAACACGGTAAAAGTTCATGCTTGGTGTTTATCTGCCGTTTATCTGAGCGCTAACTCATGCAGCTATGATGAAATATTCATGAGAAATGAAGCAGACGGCTGCTTTCTGTCTCATGCAGATCAGTATGAAATAAGTGACCACAATGTGAGAAATAAGTTCATATGTGTCAGGGCAAGACTGACCTCACTGTTAATGTTCGCTCCTGCATCAAGAAGCATCTGGACCATGGCCTCATCTCCACGGACACAGGCGTACATCAGAGGGGTCATCCCCTAAATATGTTAAATGGATAAAAACAGGAAAATAAACATATCACTTGTAAATTCACTTCAGAAAAATGTATTTGTAACAAATACAATCTATAGAAAATCATATTATGTTTGTAAATTCTCAGTATTGTATTTCTTACTTTATAAAAAACATCATACTTTGTTTTTTATTACTACAAATACACTCCATAAATTCTCTTATTTCTTATCAGAACTTACATATCTTAACCCACAACACAGACAGCACAATATAATTCTACGTTGTAGACAGATGTATAGATGCTGTATTTATCACACACGAGAAAATTCAAGTGACCATCAGTAGCTGATAAAACAGGCAACAGACTGACACATACAATCTGACATACACATACAATCCTAGAGAGTAATTTCTGTTTAATTTTATTTATTTTTATTTTTTATTTATTTTTGTCGTTACAACAATATCATAAAATAACTATGAAGAAGAAATAAATAAGAAATAAAGTAAAACACTTTCTATCATTCTAAGAATAAGACCGAATAGGCTGAAGCATAGCTTTTGTTGCCTTCCCCTTTTCTCAGCTGTATGTTTTTATAAACTGAGCAAACCAAATTGCATTACTCATTTTATAAAATAAAATACTTCAAAATCTGCAGTGTTGCCTCTCGCCATCACCACCGAGTTAAAACATGACTCAGCAAGTAACTCAGGAGTAAAGATTCAAGCATAAACGTTTGAATGAATGGTGCAAAAGGAAAGGAGAGATACGATGCTTCAGCTCATAAGATCATTTAACATCTATAGAGTTGTGTCTTTTTGACTACTTTGGCATCTGCTTATATAAAGCCTTTTGTTAGAATATTGTTCGTGCTGTCTCTCTCCTGTGGACCTGCTTTATTACTTTGTAATTTTGATCATCTCACCTGTTCACTCATGCTGTTAATGCCATCAGGACCCAGCAGGTTGACAGCCTGCTTAACCAGATCTGTGCGTCCACAGTTCAACATTCGGAAACCCAGGTCCTGCAGGAACTTGGCCTCAGTTGATGACGCATCAAGGTTTCTGGTGGCGCAAAAGCAATCTTCAGCTCTGTAGGTGGACACACACAGCACATAAGAAACATTGTTAAAATATCAGGAGGACTTTAACGTTCTTAAAATCTTCCTGACATGTCCATATACAGTTCATGCAACATGAATGATGGGGGTGGTCGGAGGGACTGATGCCACAGCCTTGTTTCTGTCAGTCTGCCCGAGGCATCATGATCATGTGCATTATATTATTTATTCTCTTACTTCACTTGTCGTGGCTCACAATCTACTCCGGGCAGCAGCAGCCGCGCCGCCTGCCTCACATCATCACTGTCCACAGAGAAACTTCGCCGATGTTCCGTGTGAGCAACGGCAACTCGAATCCACTCCATCAGAGGAGGTAACACCATGTACGGTCTGCAGGGACAGGCAATACTTTACAGACATCCATAAGAAATATTTAAGCACATTCAAAATGCAAACAACACAAAATATACTTAATATTCAGAGAGATGCTTTGAAATGAATTGGTGGACAATCATGTGCTTTTGATCTGTTTTTGTAGCTGGTTAGTAGCAAACGGCGGTTCTTTGTGATTTTGGCGGAAAACAGAAGAGCAGCAAATGCAAAAAAACATCTGTGTGGCTTGCCTGAGAAGATGTGAAAGACAGAAGAGGACCGGCATAATACTAGGCAAAGACAGGAGAGGATTGAAATACAACTACAGTACAAGGAGCCATGTGGGAAACGATAGACGGGACTTTGGGTAAAGTGTCCCCAATCCAATTCTTGGAGATGTCTGAAATAATAACAGTGGATTGTTTTAACTTTCTTTCTACAAAACTAACAACAAACACTAACATACTAGCTTGTAACATGTTCCTTCATTTACCAATAGTTCCTGCAGGTACCAAAAGGAAAAACCAATTCTAAAAACTTAAACTCTTTTAAAATCTGGATAAATAATTCCTTACTTTAAACAGTGTAACTGATGGGTTACCAATATGAGAATGCCGATGATTGAAGATATAGCTAAATAAACAGACATTTATTTTTGATATTGGGAGTAGAGCAGCAGAAGTGAGATGTGAAGGGAGCCAACAAAATGAGAGGGGCTTTGTGGAGGAATTGTTTTTCAGAAAGGTGGGACTTCCAACCAAATTTGCCTGGACACCATTAATACACTAATGAAAGCTGCTGTTGTTGTCACCCGTCCTCAGATTCATAGAGAAAACTAAATCTCTATGGTTTAAAACTAACTAAAGATGAAAAAAACAAAAAAAACAAAATCAAATACCTTTCAGTTTGTAATGTGACCTTTGAGGGCTCCACATTGGGGTTCTCCCACTCCATGTTGGGGCAGTGCATGAAGTAGCAGAGGGTGTAGAGGGCCTCTGGCTCCCAGTGCAGCATCATACTGCTGCTCTTCTGGTGCACGGGGGTTCCGTTGCTGGAGTTCTTAATGTGCAGAGGCTGGAGGTGGTGCATGGCCCTGGTCACCAAATCACCTGTGGACAGAGGTGGAATCGGATAATCAGCTACATGACTGCAATAATATCTAACATTTTATTAAAAACCTATTACTTTTTTAGTCACAGATTTTTGTCAGTAATTCATAAATTTAGCCAGAAGCAGGTGGATAGTGATGAACATGTTGAAAGCCTTCATCATTCCTTCAAACTTTTAATATTGATCGTTGTAGAAATGATGTGGGGAAAATTATGGATTTTTATTTCCGGAACCAGAGCGGGCACTGAAGGGGGCGGGACTTCACAGCTCCCTTGAAAAAGAGGTTCTAAATCTCAATGGGACTTTCCTGTTTAAATAAAGATATAGAAGTTAATTTAGTGATGATTTTGGTGTGTGCTTCTGTCAGAAGATTCTAACAAGGTTAGAAAATAAACATAATATAAATATGTCAGGATTTTAGTATATAGGCCATACTGTGAATATCAATGAATAGAAAACCATATTTTTTCATCATTCACTGAGTGTATTGAAGCGATACAATGTTGAGTCAGATGCATTAGGCTGTCTCCTCCTCAGTACTCTGACACATTAGGCTTGTTAGTCATGGCACATGTTCACAGAGGATTGGACTCACACATTAGTCGCACACACATATGCCCACTCACACACTTGCAAACAGCCATGAAACATCACTAGGAAGACTTGTAGTCCCATATATCTATTTCACCTTTAATTGACAATGTTAATATGCATAGACTGCATGTAGGGAAAGACTGTGTGGATGAAATATAATGAAATAAAGCATCTACACATAGCTGCGTTTCTACCTAAAGCTCTACTATTCCTCCAATCCAAAAAAATGTAAAGGATTGGCAAGTTTGCATTTCACTCATGAAATTGAAGAAGTCATTCAAAAGATCTATGGTAGAATTCGACTTTTACCTGTCAAAACACAGACTTGCTGATCCAATCATTCACTTGAGCCATTCATAATTAAAATATAAACAGATTATATTTGCGTGCAGACGCCCAAGAGCTTTGTTGCATTATGTTAAAACTAAAGTCACTCAGTGATTCTCCTGGAGCATGGATCATATGGCCTTAAAGTGGTTCCTTGCTTATCCCAGGTTTACCGCAATAAGCAAAAATCCACAAAGTAGCGGCTAATATATAGCCGCTACTTTGGCTACTTGAGGCTGTTAAACGCCTCACCACACACTGAATACACTTTTCTACCCACCGGAACTCACGACGGATGAAGTGCCATTGTTAAGATATGAAACTCTTTGTTGTAGCTCTGTGCGCTGCTGCAGCTGTCAAAAGCTGTGCTTACACTGTAAAAATATAGCTGCTGGGGGGCAGGAGCAGAACTGAGGGCCACTGAAAGATCGCGGTAGTTCTCTGAACTAATCACCATGGTGAACACAAGCCACAAACACGTAAATGCATGAACATGTAAATGTATGTACATGTAAATGCAGATTGTGAAGCACAAAAAAACAACTGTTTCAGAGTCACTTCGAAGTTGTTGCCAACAACACTGACATTTCTAAATTGTCAGTGTTGTTGTAAATAATGTTGGAGTATTCAGGCGACGCATGAGAAGCTAAAAAGGTGAACCGCTTTATAATGAGGGACCACTGTGTGAGTGGAATTTGTTTTTTGAGCACCTGCACACTTTTTTGAAAACATTTTGATAATCTTTAGATAGGTTCCTGAAATAAATTAAAGTTATTTATTTGGATGTATCAAAAAAAAAGTCATGTTTTTGTGGAGACTTGCAATGTTCCAGGTTGGATGTTGGTAATAGCACTGTAGGATAGGGAAACAATCTAACATCTCCAGTAGTCATGACTCATGACCGAGTCGAGCATCATCATCTGGAGATGTGTGTCTGGGAGCTGCACTTTGGCGACCACTGCTCCTGACAGAGGCCTGAGTGGCAGTGTAGGATGGGACAAATTTCACTAGAGGATCAATAAAGTATATATTAATTAAGTATGTTCCCAAAGAGATGGTCTATATGTTTCTGCAATGTCTATTGCATTATGATAATACTAATTCAATAATAAGTCCATGAAAACCCAGGTACATACTCACCAACACACAAAATGCACCTTTAAGTCACAGTGATTTAAAAAGGTTGAATGGGGTTTAAATAAAAATTTCATCTTTGTTTTGTTGACAGATTATTGAGGGTCCTCTTAAAAAAAGTCTGACTGAATCTTTCCTAGAGCCGAGAAGTGGGTCAGCCTGGATGAGATTAGAGAGCCATCACTAGGAGAAAGATGATGCATGGCTAAGTAAGTTTTCATCTCTAATATGGTGAGAAATGAGAATCTGGAGCAGTTCTGAAGATGAAATGTGACACCTGGCTGTGATCCTGCTCCGTCCAGTGTGTGAGATCTTTATCTCCCATTTAGCATGTCAGCGTGGCAGATTAGAGGGCGATGGGCAAAGCCTGTGAGGCAGAACTCAACAGTTTACATCTCTTTAGAAGAATCCCATATTCACTGCCGTTTTCATTCACATATTGGAGAAGCTAATTGTTCTGCTAGTTTCCTTTGTGTGTCAAAAAGCAGGGGGATATTTATATTATTGACCCAGAAATGGATTAAAGGGTAGAAAATGGACGGATGGATGGATGAATGGCGCAAGCAGGAACAGACTTGCGGCGCTCCCGATTGGCTCTTTGGTTGCTGGATGGTTACTACCCATTTATTTGGCTCTAGATTCCTGCTCAGAGCCTGTTTGTTTTGGCTCTAATCCACTTCTTCCTTAGTAAGGCAAACACTATGGGTGAAGTAACTTGTACTTGGTTTATTCATTCTACACTCTATGGGTTTATGAAAAAAATTTCCTTTGGAAAAGGAATAAAAAATGCGGCGTCTATCACCAATCAGGATAACTTGAATGAGAATAGCCCAGACCCCAATAACTGTGTGCTGCAAGTTAAATCAAGACCTCCACATCATCAGATGGGGTACAAGCTGAAGAGTACTTCCCTAGAGTACCCTTGGGACTGCAGAACAGGTTATAATCTGTGAAGTTTTAACATTTATCCTTGAACACATGACGGTCCTCAAGGTATGATTGAAACCCACTGAGTACCGCAGTTTTGAGTAGTGTGGTGAACATTTTTAGTGGCACTGAGTGGTTAAAAGTGTCAAATCTGTTACTCAGATCCAGAAAAATGGCACAAACCAACTCTCCCTTGTCCAGACTGGATTTGATTACCTTCAGAAAATAACAGCATGCCATGTTGGTGAAGTGTGGATTCCTAAGTCAATTTTTTCAATTCCCTCCATACACAGTGACTGACAGAAAAGGCCCCACCCTTCACTCATTCAGCACATTCATACCTTTAGTGGTATGGAAAACTGGAGCACCCAGAGGAAACCCCAAAAAAAAATGTTTCCCATCACAGTAGTCTAAAACCCAAAGTGCAGTCTCCGCCACAAGAACTAATCTTGATTCAAACTGGTGGATGTAGGCCCTGCACATCTTGGCTTCTGGGACAGACGTGACATGTTCGGGTTTCTCCAACAGTGGTGAAACTTACTAAGCTCTGCAATGCTGCCCACTCGTGTGGCCAGAAGAGACTGCTCCAGTGTGCGTTGTTCAGTCTGGGTGTATCCATGGCTCTCGCTGCCTCGCCCTGACCGCTGCTGGTCCCTGTGCAAGTTCAGGCTTTCAGGTAAACTGAGGACACCTGTGGACAAAAAAGGTGAGCAGGTCAATATCACGCTGTGGTTTCTGGAGTAGTTCGTCGTTTTTAGTATTTCTGAGTTTCGTCTCATATCTCTGGAACTATGCTGACCAAAGCAAGAAAACACAGAAATGTCAAAAACATGGCTAATAGAAAAACCAAAGGGAAAAATATGATACAACATCCATCCATCCATCCATCCATTTTCTTCCCCTTAATCCAAGCCCCTCACTGATCCTCCTGCAGGTAGTGAGTCCACAGGAGCATGATGCAACATTGACTTTATTGAATTATTTTTCAACCAAAAACGGACCTGGAGTTGTTTTTATCTTAATCCATGCTGACTTTTGCCACAGACTCGTCCCTCCGCCCCTTCTGTCTAAATGAGTCTGTCACAATCCTGGTATGTTTTGATGAATATTCATATTCAGAACAAAAGAATTGCTTCAAAACAAGATTTGGTGAAATTTACTGCCTATCTCTGGTGGTAGAAGTAAAGAATTACAATTATAGAGGATTGTTTGTTATCCTCTATATATTCATTTTGACATTACATTCAAAAACATGGAATGCCAAAGTAAATTGTCTGATTATCATGTTTAAAGGCCAACAGTAACACGTGGCACTGGTGTAGTTAGATACTGGTTTGTCGCAAAGTAACAAATGTGGAATTGCTACATAAGCACCACAGCATGTAATCAATCTCTCACTTGGCGGTGCTCTATATAAAGCAGTCCTTGTGGCTTTACCTGTATTCAAACCATGTTCAAACAATGTTTTAGTCTGCTGTTGCTACAGAGAAAACCCATGCATTCTTCTGAGAGCTTTTGAGTTGCGTGTTTTCTGTACGGTTTGGATTGACTGATGATGGGAGTGTAAACACAATGCCTCAAACATATTTTTCTTTAACATAAATCCTAGATGAAACAGAGTCCTCCCACCTGCCAGTCAGCACTTCCACACAGTCAGAGGACAGAGCTAAACTAATATGTTATTGTAACATTACATCATCTAGCCTGAGAAAGCTTGTCATCTTTATACGCCTGTGTTCGAACTGTTTGATTCACTCGGTTATTAACTAATCAACAAATTTGTACAGTCCTCCAAGACGACTGCTGTTGTGATTTAGGGCTATACAAAAATACATTGAAATGAATTGAATATAAGCCTCAAATCTATTAAAAACTGATCTGTGTGTTCCACAATATTGAACACATGAAAGCAAATGAAACCCACATGTTTGAATCTCCAACCTTTGCCCAGTGAACACTTGTCCATCTACTGCCCTTTTTCTCCACTGCCCCCTACTGTCCAAACTGTCCTCTCTGATGGCATGGTGTGCGGAGGCCTTTGCTGAATAATTCATTCTGTCAGATCGAGCCGTATAAACAAGCCTCTTCCTCTGCACCTCCTACTCCCTCTCCATTTTATCTCGCTCCAACAGTTGGCTAAAAATCTGACTACGGATATTTGATCTTTGGTTGTTTGTGTAATGAACATCAAAGGTGAGAGGAAAGCTGCCTGAATCCTGCTGAGTGAGTAAAACTGCAGCGCTGGAGGTCGCTCCGGTGATGTTGACACAAATATATTGACAAAATGACAGGAAAGGTCGCGCTTAGCATTCCACCAAGGTTACGGCTCTGCTAAATGTTAATACAATTTGATAATGTGCTCCAATAAAAATGCAGTGAGAACGCAAGTCTACCACCTGCCATTTTCCTTCTGTTGGTTAGGTAAATGTCGGCTAATCCAAAGATTCAAAATGAAAGGTAATGAAAAAAGCTTCTTCAGGTCAAAATCAATGACATGTCAATCTAAGAGATTGGGAGACTCTATTCGTCCCACAGTGGGGAAATTTCAGTGTTGTATCACCAGTTACAGAACAGTAGGGATGAGGAGCACACAGCACAAGTTAAATGATCAACTAACTCTAGCATGAATAAGAAACAAGTATAACATTTCTATCTTTGGCATAATGACTACAAAAACTCTGACTTTAGTATAATAAAGAAGTATAAAATCTCGACCTGTGTATTCTAGTGCAAGTAGTATATATTTGTATACTGTATATACATGTGTACATGATAGCAGCATGAGGGCATGGGACGCCTAGGGTATGGGAATGTATTTTTGTATTGCCCTCTAAGGTGACTTACTATAATTTTGATCATTGATAAGTGAATATTAATCAACAATTAGTTGTTCAGAATGCAAATGCAATATTTTGGAAAAAATATTTAAAAACTATTTACCCAACAGATAGAAAATGGCAAGTAAAGCCAACAGAGGACATTAAAAATGTTCCAACCTTTTCGCCCAGGAATAACCACTTCATCATTAATTATATTTGTATGCAATTACTGCTCCTAACACCATATCTCACAGCTCTTACATGTATTGGAGCCTAAAGAGCTACTGACAATTAATGCGTTACTGAAATAGTTGTTGGAAAAAGCTTCATTAGTTGCGATTAATCGATTAATTGTTATAACACCAGCAGTTGTACGCCGTTTGTTTACATTATTCCACCATGAGCGTGCAGCCGGCTCGTTTTCTGCTGGATCCTCCAATCGATTTCCTGTATACAGCAGGAAAAGTAGTAGCTATCTCGCTTGTCAGTGGGAAACTCTGGCTGAATATTAACAGGTAGTCACCATGGCAACAGGAGAAGAGCTCTGTGATTGGCCGGTGCTACAGTACTACTTTTATTTTTTGTTACTGTATTCTGGTGTGAGGATTCCCTGTTTGTTATAAGAACTGTGTACTTAAATCCCCCCGTAGCTACAATTCCAGTTATGTGCATCAGGAATAAGCAGACGTATAGTGTGAAAACCCTCATTAGCGAAACATTAAATACACTTGGGACTCCCCTCACAGAAGTAGTATAATTAATTAAATGACATGGCAGCTGTTATGAATCAGTACTAACATAAATTAATGGATTATATAGCGGACATATGAACCAGCTGTAAGTCCCAAGACTAGTTTCACATGGTACATAGCAGCACAAGCAGACATATCTACACTGTGTAAATCAGAGGTCTCCAAACTTTTTCAAGCAGAGAGCTACTTTTATGCAACAGAAGAGGCAGAGAGCTATTCCTCTTTCCAGTCGTAATAAAAATATATGTATTAATTATGACAAGGGAGAACATATATGGAGAGCACATGTAAAATATACTGTAAAACTGTATAACCTTATATTTATACGTTTATTAGATATGCAATCACTCAAAATGTATTAATTCAAGATCATGTGTTAAATTCTAAATTTTTGGGGAGCTACCTGAAAGGGGCTGGAGAGCAACTGGTAGCTCCGATTCCGAGTCATGCATGCTAACACATGTAAGTCCTCTTTATTTGTTATATTATTTATTTATTTATTTCGAACCTGCACAATACATATTTTTACATTTATGAATATAACAGAGAAATAACTAGAACCTGGTTCAAAAAGGGGTTGGAGGAAGCACATTTGATTCCAACCCCCATCACACATACACTGTTTTAACAATATCATGCAGTAGAATTCTCAAACATACAAATCTCTTCAAACCATCTTTAAGAATACATCTGATTTAAATAGTACATTTCACAGACCAAGGTCACCCAAAGCGCTTAAGAATCAATCTTTGTCATTACCACACATTACCACACATGGTAATCACAGAAGAAAAACGCTGAACACTATGGCACATCGAAGCCCCTGACCATCACCATCCATTCATTCACACATTACATTCACACCTTTTGTACATGGTTTTAGAGGTAGGGGAAACCGGAGCACCTGCAGGAAACCTATACGCAGACATGGAGAGATCGTTCTTGCTGTGAAGCACAAGAACTGACTTCGCCACCATGCCGCCACACACACACATGCACATCTGCTTCATTTCCAGTGTCGCTTGCTGTTGGTATCTGATGTCCATGTCCCCCGTCCATGGGGCTGGGCTGCTCCTGGGTGACCCCCTTGACCAATCCAGTGGAACCTGAGAGTGACCTCACAGCCAGTATATAGAGAGCTGGGATGGACTAGTTAGAGGGTTCTTGGCCTAATGCTCTCTCTACAGGGGGTATGATATTTTCTGTTATGTCTGTATGCATCTTGTAATTACTCAGTGTCATTAAAATGTCCTCTTTTATATCTATTGGTTTGGGCCTAATACGTACAGTACAGCAACAATTAAATTTTCATGATAACATTTGCTAATAGAATCCTCTTCCAATCAAAATGATGATATAAAATTACAGATGAGAAAAAGCAATTTTCTCCAACATGTTCTCTCCCTGACCCTCTCAAATATCACCTGCATAATTACATATCTACATTTCCCAACAGGCTAATTAGGCCTGCTGAGGAGATAACGACGCTACCCACATCTGTTGATATTTATACAGATACAAGCCCCAAATTGACACAGTTCAGCAATCAAAATGGTAACAAATGCAAGATACAAGCGAAGAGAGTAAAACGCTGCATTATGGAAATTAGAGAAAAGAAATTAGAGAAAAGTTCTGAAATGGGAGAAAAGTTAAAGTCACAGATTTACAATCGGATTTCATTAATGTTCCGAATTAAACTAGGTACACCCAGTTGGGATAGATAGATTTTCCTAATTTCTATTCACAAGAGGCAGCACGATTTTGGCAAATTATCTACGGTAATTGTGATATGACATTGAGATGCGATTTTTGATATGTTTGGGGCATAGAAAAAAATAAAATGTTTGTTATTTTTATTTTTTTACTCAATATCGAGAAAAAGTTGTAAATATGATTGATAATCATTATGAATGCATGAATGTAACTTTTTCTGCTCCAATGAATGAATCAAAAAGCCAAAGCACTTTGACAAAAGATGAGATGATGAACACCTCAAAAACAACAGACAAAACAAGAAAATATACTGGTTTCATTGACAAATCAACATATATAGTCAACAATTGGTCACATTTCAAGGGATTTTGTGCTTATCTGTAGGTGTTTGTGAAGAACTTTCAGTTTCAGTCCTTGAAATTTCTACCACAGAAATGTGGATTTGGATTTCTGTACTGTTCTTTTGTTGTTGTTATAACTTACAGCAGGTCTTGAAGTTATTGAAGCTGGCTTTGTCTCCAAAGTCCCCAAAGTTATGAAGACAAGTTGGCACATTTAATACACCAGATGGATTGCAGGTGCCATACCAAATGTTTGGCTCTGTTGCTAATCTCAATAAAGAACAATGGGCCAAGTGATGTCACTGATTTAATCACGCAGTTGTTGTCCACCAGATCCAGGCAGCCGGTCATCCACATTTCTATTTCCATTATTTGTTAGTAAATAAAACAAAGTTGAATTTTCTGACTTATTTTAGGCAGGATTTCTCAGGCATTCGCTCAAAGGCAGCACTTTTCTGTGAAATCCAACAGCCATTTAGCAGTGTGAACTGATCAATGCCGCTGCGTCGTGATTGAGTGATCTTTCATTACACTGTATAATCACATCATATTCAATACAGACGCCACATGAGGGATTTCAATATTGTCACCATGACGGACGACTGCGGTGGTTCCATTCAAGCACGCTCACTTTTGTACTGCTAATAATGTGCATGCTGTAACTACTAATCAACCCTTTTCTATGTCTAACAATGTATGTATTAAATTTACCAAAAAATATTATGCATACCAGCTTCAAGATGACTTTCATCTGTAGTCCCTGGGCAGTGACAAAGGTTATTGTGTAAATATTTATTACATAAAATGGCCTAACTAACGTTTAAAATGGAGGTTAAATGTAACATCGTTGACCACAAAGACACATAATAAATAAAGCCATTTTTTTACATAATGACTGGCTCATTCAAAGTACACCTGATCGAGCCACTTCTGTAGGCTGAATTTGAAATTTATTTATTTATTTAAGGATAGCCCCATTGAGATGAACTATCTCTTTTTCAAGGGGGTCCTTTATCAAAGAAAATTAACAAATAAGATGGCTTACATCAGTAATACAAAACAAAGAAATGTAACAAGCGTAACTCAAACATAAATTATTAACAATTATATATATATACACATATACTTACATACACACACATATCTTGCTCCATGTGTTTTAGACCTCAATTACAAAACAGATCAAATTGGTCCAGCTGGAGTTGACATTTGGAATTCAAATTTGTTTTCGTTTTCTTCATCTCTTTGTCCGTCAGACAGAAATGCTTAGAACATTCTCCTAAGGAGATGTTTTATTATTTATTATGTTGTTTTCACAATGTCACTGAACAAAAGTGACTCTTTACCAGAGGACAAAACAGGGACATTTGGGAATAAGTAACCCTTAAGTAAAAGTAACTAGTTGTACAGTCCCAGTTTGAACATGTGCTCAGTGACTCACCTGAGCGGCACGGTGGCTGAGTGGATAGCACTCTCGCCTCTCAGCAAGAAGGTCTTGGGTTCAAATCCCGGTTGGACCAGGGCCTTTCTGAGTGGAGTTTGCATGTTCTCCCCGTCTCTGCGTAGGTTTCCTTCGGGTGCTCCGGTTTCCCCTACCACTAAAAATATGTACAATAGGTCTGGCATGTGCCTCCCGCACTGGCACCCCCACTCCCAAAAAAACAACAATTGTAAACCGCTTTGAGGCTCCGATGTGCAGTGAAAAGGCGGTATATAAATAAAAGCTTACTTACTTACCTAACAACGAATCCTGTGTGAGTGCAGGCAAAACAATTACCTACAGTTGTAAAGATGCCTGCCCCACTGAGAAACATGTTAACAACGTAAGTGCATTATCACAGTACTTACAACTCCCGCAGTGTCTTAAGAACTGAAAGCATCTCTACTTAAGTTTCTTTGGGGCAAAACGACTCACCATTCTCATGTCTCTCTGTTTCAGGAGAAATTCCTCACACATTTGTGAATTTAAAGAGTACAACATTATTTTTTGTGTGATATGAATACACACACACACACACTAGTTTTTATAATTGTAAGTGCACATTTATTTAAATAGCGCATTTCACAGACCACAGACTTTACAATGTGTTTGAGTCCCAATAATTACATTAACAACAAACGCATCAAATTCTCTGATCATCACCATCCATTGATTCTCTCCTTTTTACTGGTAAGAACCCAGAAGAAACCTGCACAGACACGGGGAGAACATGCAACAACTCCACAGAGAAAGGCCCTGTCTGGAGGTGGAATCAAATCCAGAACCTTCTTGTTCTTGCCGCTCGCCGGCTCTGTTCTATGGTTTATGTTTTTTATGAATCAATCAAAGGCACAAATATAGGACTGGGCTTTTATAACGGCACACCAGCTCTGGAGCACCAATGTTAAATAAATAAAATAAAATAAACAATTTCTCTCTAGACAAGAGACTGAAATTAATTTATGGAGTGCTAAAATGTGACTCCCTATTGGTAAGGACCGGCAAATTATGAGTGCAGTTGCCGATAAAAAAAAGCAATTATTACAGCTAAACAAGCTTATCGTCTCACTGCAGATGGACATTTGCTTGAGGGCATTATTTTTTCTGTGAAGTAAAGGCTCGAAAAGTGCTTAAAAAAGACAATGGCCACGATGCAAGTCAAAAGCTGGTGTGGAATCGGAGTGGCAGTTCTACATTTGGGGGCGATATGAGTTGCTGGTGATGTTAAGGATGCTGACGTTGCTGATGCGGCCGCGCGGCGTGTTGGCAGGTCAGCAGGCTGCGGGGGCTTCTGCGGTCAGTCATGTGAGGATACACAGCTGTGACTGCGGCCCCCGGAGAGGGGCCCTCAGCGCTCTTCACAGGTCCCCAAAGCTGCACACTCACAGCCCAAATGAAAGAGTGCGACATGACAGGGGTGATCAGGACAGTGTGAAAGAACAATGGACCACAGAGGACCTGCGGCGCTCACAGGTGCAGCAGGAAGACAAGTGCATGATGGGATACCAGCGTCCTGCACCTTCATAATGAGGGAGTTTTATTCTGATACTAAGCAACTAACAAGAAGAAAAGTGAAATTCCCTCTATAGTTGCATGGCATGAACAGATATGTATATTATGCTAATATATAATAATAATAATAATAATAATAATAATAATAATAATAATGATGATAATAATAATAATAATAATAATAAAGGAAGTATATTAACAAAAATAAACACAAACATTTTATTAAAAGTTTAGTTTGATAGATGTTCATTATATATAGATACATTCCAATCATAATAAGAGAATCGTAAGAATTGGAACAGGATGAAATTATGAATTCTAAATGTATATAGACATGATACATTTGATACAACCATTTGGATGTTATGATATAATTCTATTTTTTTTCTTCATGTATTTTCTTAGTTTTTATTTTGTACATCTGTTTAGTTTTATGGGGTTATTTACTACGAGGTGTTGTATGTACATGTAACAGTAGCATGCATATATACAAAATATTGTGTTGTACCAACAAAGTCTGCACATTCACTGTATCAAGGAAACTCAATTAAGTGTACATACTATATATAAAAAGAAAGTCATGTTTAGGCTTTTGAAAACAACACAAACATCAGAAATGATGTACATGTGTTGTTGCATTAGATTTTTGTCACAGAGCAATAAATTAAGATGTTTCTAGCCTGTCGCAATAACTCATTTTGATTAATGACACTTTGTAGGGCTGTAATCAGTTTTCTATAAAGGTGCGCTTAATAATCCAGCTGTACTGCAGTGCACATGCCCTGTTAATCCTTTAGTCGACAAAACCCTAACTCCATTTATAGTCTTGTCATGTAAATACATTAATGGCTGAATCATTTACAGTCCTAAATCTTCAGGAAATCAATGCAATAAACAATAAATCAAATGGAACTATTATTACTCACAAATGCAAGAACAAGTGTGCAAGAATCATTTTTTGTACTATCAATTTCTTTCCAAACCAAGCGCTACACAAACAGCAACATTAGTTATATTTAGCCATAGTTACCTCGTCTACAGCAAAAATACAATGCCAAAAATCATTGCACTTTCGCAAAGAAAATATACAGACAATGCAAAAATATTGAGGCTCGAATAATGTTGTTTTATCCAGTATTGAGTAATAAGTAAACTGTACAAAAAAAGTGCAGTATGTTTGACCCTTGCCTATTAATTTAACAATAAAAAGGAGACCGCAGGTAGTTTAAATAGAGCTACTTTAACTTTGTCCTGTCAATTCTGGTTGCAAAAAATAAAATTAATCATTTGGTCTAATAAGTTTATTCAAAATGTTTTATTTTGCATTAGGACTCGCCTTATATTCCCTCTCAAAATGTAGAATGTTTCTCTGCAGTGCATTCTGGGCAGCATCACTGCTTCGCCCAATACATTTTGTTTTAGATTTTTTTTTGTCATTAATGGACCACCACGCTTACACAATAAATATAAGTATTTTCACTTACGGCAATAAAATCAGTATTGTATAGGGTGCTATGATAATGTTATGTCAATCTACCAAAAATATGAAATGATGAAAAATAATGTATATACTTAAAATATTTTACATCAAAGGCTGGTCTGCTGCACTTTTTACAGTGTAGCTGTTTCAAAAGTGGATTTGTTTTAGGTTATCCACCACAGCCAGAGTGTATGCAAATTCACCCAGTAAGTCTCCCAATGACGTTAAAATGTGTCATATATTATCATTACAGGTTAACACAAAAAACTTGCGTGAGTTGTATTCCCAAATCTCTGATGAAAACACAAAGCCATGTGGCTGAGTGAATTATGCATGAGGAGACATCCCCGGTGTTCTCTTTTATTAACACAAAGCAACCTGCCATGTGACCTGTGGGCATCTCACAGTGCCCTGACCTCATGGGTCCGGCCAGATGGTCACAGTCACTGGCCACTGTCAAGTCTGCTATTCATGCAGAGCAGGAAGATAAAATACTGCTTTTCTTACAAATTATGATTTAGTAAAGTTATAATAATAATAATAATAATACATCAAACTTGTATAGCGGTTTTTTGGACACTCAAAGACGCTTCACATGGAGAGTAGAATACAGTTATGAGACCCAATGGCTCTAAAAAAGTTCATGGTTATGTTGGAAGTCTTATAATTACTATAAACAGTATCAACCAGCCCTGTTGTGACTTCATATGGCTGTAGTCTATGGGCTGTACCTGCATTGAAAGCCTGGTCTTGTACGACACAGAAGCACAGTGGGGCGGCTGCAGCGTAAAGTGCCAGCCTGTTGTTGTGTCCTTTGACAAGAAACTTAACCCACATTGCCTTGTATGGGGGAATGATCGGTGGTGGTAGGAAGAGCCGATGGCACAGTGAGTTGCCTCACTTTGGTCAGGGAAGCTACCATTTATGGAGGGAATGAATAACGCTGAAGATACAGTTGCATCAATTTTATATATCACTTTTTTAGACACATAGAAAAGTGATATTTAAAATTGATGCAACTGTATCTAATAATGTTTAGATACAGTTTGAAATGAGCTCGAGCACATTTGACAATTCAATTAGTTGGTGAGACACAAAAGGTTTCAATAATTTAGAAATATAAATTAAATGGACCATGAGTCTGTAATAAAGTCCAATGATGATGATGAAATGATTAAGGCAAAGCTCAGCTTAATGTGTGCCCGGGTGAGTCAGACGGGTTCACTTCCCTCTAAACTGTCCCTGGAGGCAGATTTACAGATTGTTCTCACCAGAGACGAGTGCAAAGAATGTGTCAACTCCACTTCTGTATCACTTGCCACATGAACACCGGCATTTTGAGAAAAAGGATGATTTGGCATGAACATAGTGCTTTGAAATGGGTGGCTTAGATGACTGCTGCCCTTCCATGACTTTGGCGCTTTGACACGCAGTCTATTTGAAAGCAGATAAATCCCCCTGACGGGTGACAGAGAAGCAGAGATGAGAAGCTTACTGTCTGACTCTGATGAAGCTTTGGATCTGAGTAAGAACATGAAAGAACGACTGGGATTACAAAACATATCAAGAACTACACCTGGGGTGGCGTTCCGCTGCGCTCACCGAATGGAAGCAGACACTGAGCGAGACTATGGTTCAACTGAACTTCCTTGCAATTAAAACAAGGTTGGATGTCGTTCAAAAGACAACCCTAACCCTACCCTAATTGTATACAAAAGTTTTGAACAGAGCATTGTTTGACTGTTTTTGCATACCTATTTGCACACATTTGTTTATTTATTTAAAACATTCAATGTGCAATATCTGTAATTCTATTGTAGCAGTCAGAACAGTAGCATTTCAAATAAAGGTTAAAGCACATTCAGCATCCTTTCAGTCTGCCTCTTTCCATCATCCTTAGCCCTAAATATCCTCTTCAATCGCCCCCTTACTGTCATTCTTACGCCTGAATATCATCTTCAGCCCCATGTGTGTCCTGCAGAGTCAGCTGCTATCAACAAGCACCTTTGGCAGAACCACATAATGAGATTATGCTGCACAAATTGTTCATTGAGACTCCAGAGTGGCAGGTGGGGTGACTGTCAGGTGGAAAAATCAACAAATTGGAAATGAATGAATAAATAAATTAAACAGAATAAAAAACAGAACTGTTTGTTAAACCTTCCGACTTATGTAAGAAGGACAGGTAAATTGCATCCTTTCAAGGCTCCTGGCTGAGCAGTTGAGCAGAAGCTCCTGTCACTTACAGAAAGTATCGGTAAAAGAATAAGTAAACCACAAGTGACAAGGACACTCTGCTTTTTACAAGACTTCAGCATGAATTAAACATGCAGTGCTCCAGGAAGAGGCACGAGCGGCCTGTGGTGAGACAGAAACAGGTAGCTCTTACATAATGCTGCATAATGGGTCAGCCATAAGGTTTGTGATCCGGTCACTCACCAAAGTGATGAAATTGGAAGCATATTACAGATGTGCATTGACTTAAGTCGGTGTTCAGTATATTAGTAGTATTTTGAAAGTGCTATATAAATAAACCATATTATTAAACAGTAAACCAGTGAATAACAATTACAAATCTTTACTTAGAGTGGTTGCCAGGTGAAATCCTGGGAATCTACATTCCTTTTCTTTTGTATTAAATATAAATCCATCCATTCATCATGTCTCTAGGCCAGCTGACACACATCTGCAAATGACACAACAACAAAGTCGATGATCGACCTCCGGCCTCAGGTCTCTGTCCTGGTGCCACATATACTGTACTGGTGGACAGCCTTGTGCTCCAACATGGTGTTCGTTATGGACAAACTGGATCCAAAACAAGTCCAAAAACTCCACATATTGTAGTCATGTGAAATGTGCTGGTATCACTATATAATTATTTCGAAAACCACAAATAGATAATTTTTCCAACAGTGTATCACTCAAGCATTGGGAACAAAAAATGCTCTTTTAATAGACATGTAACTTGGCTATATTACAAAAAAAGTGGACTTTGACAGGTTAGTTTACTAATTCTCTCCAACTATAGGTGAGGGAATATACGTACTTTAACAATATTTCTCTAAAGCAATATATCGTCCCTCAGCATTGGTTATGGTGACAGGCCGACACAGAGGTTAAATTCAGTTCAGCCCTTAGATCATGTATATAGCAATCTTAGTGACCCAGTTCTGTTTGGAAACTCCCCCGGCACTTCTCTTTTCAAGTTTGTCCCACAACATATGGCAGGCAACTCAGCAGGAGTGTGTGGGACTTTGAGCCCTCCTCCAAAAACATAATCTTTGCGTGAGTACAAGAATACAACAAAGAAAAATTGCTCCAAAGAAACCACTACATGTTTTATCATAGCACAAGCCTTTAGCTCTTTACACTGGTTATCACTTATTTAAGGTGGGACGAGATGAAACATGGAAATCTGTCCTCACGCAATTTTGCTATAATTTATAACGGAGATGAGACAATGCATAAAAAATGCAAAGACTGTGGTGTTGAACTTAAGAAAAGTATGAGAAAGCAATATTAGGGCCGGGCC